GAATACTGGAGTGGGTTGTCATGTCCTCCTCCAGGGGATCTTCTCAACCTAGGGAACGAACCCAGGTCTCCTGCTTTGTGGGTGGATTCTTTACCATCTGAGCCACCAGGGAAGCCCCTGCCGTCCCCTTTATCCTCCCTCAAACCCTGCAGTTTGGTCCCCCAGGTACCATCCTCCTGGACCGAGGAGGTGGATAGGTGGACTCTTTCTCCCTTAGAGAATCATGTCTCACCTGTGTTTTGGTCTCCAGGCCCCAGGGTAGGAGGGGGCAAGAGCAATGTTCTGGGCAAAACATCCCTGAGAAAAGGTAAGCAGGAGCCACAGTGTGGGTGGGATGTCATAGGGAAGGATTCTCCTTAGCACCTTTGATGGATGACCTCTACCTGCTGGCTGATAGGAAGGCCAGGAGATGGGGCAGATCTGACATGCAGAGCTTAGAGGATTCCAGACACACACCTGGGGTAGTGGAGGGGGAAGAGGGCAAGAAGGAATAAGTTAGAAAACTTGAGGGGTAGCAGCGTTCTTTTTTCTGGGATTCTCTCTTCCCCAATTCTGCAGTTCCCCCAAGAACCTTCAGAACAGAAAAATTTCTAGCCCTTGCAGTCCCCTTCTTTTCCTGTGTTCTTATGCTAGCATCCCACTTATGCCACCAAATATGATTCATTCATTAGGCAATATTTATTAAGATAACTATTTATTTTCAGGCATTGGAGATACATTTGTCAAAAGGCAGATACATTCACTACCTGCCTGTAGCTTACCTTTTAGTGGAGGGAGATGAAAATGAATGAGCAAACAAATAATGGTAAGTGTATAGTGTATTGAGTGCCAGGAATGAAATAGAGTGATTGAAAGTGACTAGGGCTATTGTTAGCTGTGGTGGTCAAAGAAGATTACATTTCTATAGAGGTTGAAAGGACGGAGACTAAACTAGCCATTCAAGGAAGGGCACTCATACAGGAAAAACAAATACAAAGGCCCTGAAGTTCGGACACATTTAGCATGCTCAAGGAACAGAAAAAAACAGTTTCTAGAGCAGAGAGAGAGTGACAGGCAGTAGTGAGCAAATGCTAATCATAATCTTATAGGCCATGATAAGGAGTTTATTTTTTAAATATTTATTTATTTGGCCATACTGGGTCTTAGGTGCAGCCTGTGGGATCTTCATTTTGGCATGAAAACAGTTGGAGCATGCAGGATCTAGTTCCTCAACCAGGGATTGAACCTGGGCCCCCAGCATTGGGAGCATGGAGTCTCAACCACTGGACCACCAGGGAAGTCCCATGAGGAGTTTAATGTTTATCTAAAATGTTGCAGGGCTTCCCTGGTAGCTCAGAGGGTAAAGTGTCTGCCTGCAATGCGGGAGACCTGGGTTCAATCTCTGGGTCAGGAAGATCTCCTGGAGAAGGAAATGGCAACCCACTCCAGTATTCTTGCCTGGAAAATCCCATGGACGGAGGAGCCTAGTAGGCTACAGTCCACAGAGTCGCAAAGAGTTGGACACGATTGAGTGACTTCACTTTCTTTTTTTTTTTTTTAAGATGTTGTGTGTCCTTTGCAGGGTTTATGGCAGGAATGTATAACATCTAGTTGATGTTTGAAAATACCACTCTGGCTGCCGTGTCTAGAATGGACTGCAGGAAGAAAAGGGTGGGAGCACAGAAACCAGAGAGGTGGCCATTGCAATTGTCTGCGCAAGAGGTGATGGTGGTTAGGATTAGGATGATGGAGGTAGAGAGGATTGGGAAGATTCAGTAGATATTTTACAATGAAAAATGACTGATCTTGGTGATGAATTTGTTGGGGACTGGAAACTTGAGGGTAGGCTCCTCACCTCCAGGAAGCTTCTGGATCTGGTAGGTGTTGACTTCCCCTGGTGAAGGTCCTGTCTTCAACACCAGGACCTGTCTGGGATCATGTCCTATGACCAGGAAACTCTGGGGGAAGGGAGACAAAGGTCAGCTTGAAGAGAAATTCTGCAGAAGTCTATTACTATTTCCTGCCTAGTATCCATTTCCTTTATTTTGGGTCCCACACCCCAAATTTCCTTTAGAAAACTCTATTCCACTCTCTACTCTAGGTCCTGCAGGTGGGACTAACTCTCCCAAGAGCCGCAAGGGTGGGTCCATGACCTGACCTAGCCAATAGGATTTAGTGTTCTCTGACCACTGTGGTTGGTTCAGAGATGGGCATGTGAACCAAACCCAGCCAATGGAAATCTCCCACAGGAGCTCTTTAGAAATAGACCTCTTTTTACACTGGGGTTGCTAACTTGGTGAGATGTGGCCCTGTGCTTGGGCCAGCCATCTAGAATTGCTTTATCCAAATCTATTCCCTATTCCTTGCAGAACTCTAGCTTTGTTCAGGGCATTAACAGGCCCAGCCATAGGGATAGGTAGTGATCAGTGTAGGCACTGGTTCTCACCTCTGGCTGCATAACTCCCAGGAGGGCTTTTATTTTTTGTTTGTTTGCTTTTTGGCTGCACAGCATGGCTTGTAGGATGTTAGTTTCTCCACCAGGGATCAAACCCGAGCCCTCAGCAGTGAAAGCTCGGAGTCCTAACCACTGGACTGCCAGGGAGTCTTTTCCAGGTGAACTTTTAAAAACTATTGCTACCTGGGCCTTGTCTGTATATTCTGAATCAATTGTGAAGGCTTTTGTTTTTGCTGGTAAAAGGAAAAAATGCAACTGGTGCCTCCTTTCTTCCTTCCTCCTGCTTGGAATGCACACATGTGCTTGGGTCTGGGGCAGCCACTGGGCTACCATAAGGGAAATCTAGGAGAACTGCTGAGATGTCCTTGATGTCATTTGAGGAGCAGAACTAGAGCCTGCAGCTGTCTTTCTGGTTACGTTAGAATGATAAATGCCTACTTATCAACATATTGAGGAACAAGTGTTTATTTGCATTGCAAAATGTTTAGAATTCCCCAACGTTTCAAGCAAAACCAAGGAATTCCCTGGAGGTCCAGTGTTAGGACTCTGCACTTCCATTGCAGGGGGCACTGGTTCAAGCCTTGGTCAGAAAATTAAGATCTCAGAAGCTGTGCGTGTGGTTAAAAAAAAAAAGCCAAGAAATGGGATGAAGATATATATATATATATATAGTCTGATGTTCAAGATCCAGACATCCCTAAATTTACTTTTACTTCTGGACTTTGTGTGCTTCCCTGATGGTTCAGATGGTAAAGAATCTGCTTATAATGCAGGAGACCCGAGTTCGATCCCCGGGAAGATCCCTTGGAGAAGGGAATGACTACGCACTCCAGTATGCTTGCCTGGAAAATCCCAAAGACAGAGGAGCCAGGCAGGTTACAGTCCATGGGGTCGCAGAGAGTCGGACATGACTGAACGACTAACACTTTCACTTTCACTGGTCTTTTCAGTCATGCGAGTCGATAGGCAGGGTTTCGGTTTGCCTGGTTTTGTGTTGTGCTTGCCACTGGCAAGCGGCAGGGTCCTAACTGGTTCAGGTGTCATGGGGAGGGTCAGAGAGGGTGCCTAGGGGAGAGTACTTACCCCTGGTGGCCACAGGTCCAGAAGGGCTTTCGCACTGTGGGCATCCAGCTCTGGGATCTGCCACACCCCCCATGTCCTCTGAAGGCGAAGGAGTGACTCTGGGGTCCCCAGGACCCTTAAGGGGGTCTCACCAGCTCCATTCCCCTGTGATGGGATTAGTCTGGGACAGGCAGGGACCAGGAGACCAGGGGACAGAGGAAGGCAGTTGGACACTGAGATGGGGTCAGAGGTACAGGAAGGGGAAGCCCGGGCGCAAAGGGTCAGAGACGGGGCTCTGGGTCCTGTCTGGGGGTGGATGGGACTTGGATGGAAGAGGCTTCTGAATCCAGGGAGGTGGAGACAGCCTCAGAAACTCTCACCTCTCCCGGTCCGTGGGGCCTGCTGAGGCCTTGTCCTCTGGCTGGGCCGTCATCCTCAGGATGCAGGAGGCCAGGGAGCCATGGTCTGGCCTCTGGCAGGGAGGAAAGTATGTCTCAAGGCTGTTCCAGCCCAGGGGTAATATTCTAAATATTTACAACCCACATGGCAGAGACCTTTACCAACCAGGATGGACTTGAGACCCCTCACTGTGCCAGGTGTTAATTCTTCAGTTCCTGGGTGGTGGGGAGATCTGGAGATCCTAGCAGGGAGGTTGGTATGGGGAGAGGGAGAGGAATGTAGGGGGAAAGGAAGAGGACTCAAAATGGCAGCTATTTACCAAGTGGTAGGTATTTATTTAGGGAAGCCCAGGTACTTAGCTCTAAAGAATCTGCCTGCCAATGCGGGAGAAGCGGATTTGATGGACCTGAGTCAGGCTGATCCCCTGGAGAATGAAATGGCAACCCACTTCAGTATTCTTTTAATTAAAAAGAAATATTTACTTGGCTGCACCAGGTCTTATTTGTGGGATGTGGGATCTTCAATGTTTGCTGCAACCTGCAGGTTCTTCAGTTGTGGCATGTAGGATCTAGTTCCCTGACCAGGGATCAAACATGGACTGCCTGCGTTGGGAGCATGCAGTCCTAGCTACTGGACCACCAGGGAAGTCCCCCACTCCAGGATTCTTCCCTGGGAAATCCCATGGACAGAGGAGCCTACAGTCCATAGGATCACAAAAGAGTTGGACAGGACTTAGTGACTAAACAACAATAACAGGGTAATATTTTATATTTTAACATCCAGTGAAGCCTTATGAAAGTGGACCAGATGAATAACAACCATTGTCAAAACCCAGGGCCTGGAAAAGGGCTCTGCCCATTGTAGACACTCTGTAAATGTGATAAATGTTATACGATGTCTCTTCTTCCTCCCTTCCCTGATCATAAAGGGGCCTTCAAATATTTTCTCTCAAGGTTTTATCATGAGAGATCTCAAACAGAAAAATTAAAATAGGAACTTCCCTGGTGGTCCAGTGGTTAAGAATCTGCCTTCAAATGCAGGGGATTCAGCCTTCATCCCTGGTCTGGGAACTAAGACCCCACATGAAAGTGAAAGTGTTAGTCACTCAGTCGTGTGGGACTCTGTGACCCCATAGGCTGTCGCCCGCCAAAGCCTCCTCTGTCCATGGGATTTCCCAGGCAAGAATCCTGGAGTGGGTTGCCATTCCCTTCTCCAGGGGATCTTCCCCACTCAGGGATCGAATGTGGGTCTCCCACATTGCAGGTAGACTCTTTACCTTCTGGGCCACCAGGGAAGCCCAAGATACCATGCTGCAGAGCAAGTAAACCCATGCCTGCTGCAAATACTGAGCCCCGGAGTTGTAGACCACGCTCCACAACAAGAAGCCCTCATGCCCAAAGACCCAATACAGCCAAAATAAGCAAATTAAAAAAAAAAACTGAAACGATTTTACAGGGAACATCTATATACCCACTACCTAGATTCTACTACTGACATTTATTCTTTTTGCTTTGTCACACATCTGTCCCTCTAGCCACTGGAGCCCAACTCTTAACCAGGTATAGCTTCCTATGGTGGGTTATCAATTAAGGAGGGCATTCTAAAATATTTTCCTTGCAGCAGTCCCAGAGCAGGGATCCTAGGTCCTTCCATCTATCTATCCATGTGCCCATACATCCAACAAATATTTACTGAAGTACAGGACCACAATTAGGTGCCTGGGGAAAGGGTGATGGGCAGAATAGGCCCCTGCTCCCAGGGGCTTCCCTTCTTCTTGGGGTGGGTATAAGGGATGGATAATCAATAGCTAAACCAATCCATCAGCCCACTGTCCAGAAGTCCAGGGTGTTAGGAAGTGGGGGACAGAAAGCAGGTGCCCTGCCTAGGGGAGAGCAGGCAGGAGGCGTGGGGTGAGGGAGGCAGAGGCTTGCCTGGGCCCCATGAGAAAGGTAGGAGATGAGGGGTGCTGGGCAGCGTGTGATTGGGGCAGCTGCCTAATACCACAGGGAGGCTGTGGGTCAGTTTAGCGGAGGGGGGTGATGATGCCAGCTGCTCGGTCCCCTGGGGGCCCCTACCTGTTCTCCGAGGGGAGGCCTGAAGTAGCAGGAAGTGAAAGTTCCTCAGAGAGAGAGGAAGCTGAGCTGGCAGGGGAAGAGGCGGGGCTGGGGGGATCTGAAATGGACCCTCCTCCTTCTCTGTGGGGGCTCAGGCCTTAGGTGACCCGGCTTTGGAAGAAGGGACTCTGGCAGGTGTCTGGGAGTCCAGGGGTAACAGCCAGGACACGAGGCTCCCACGGCCCCAGGAGTCCACTCTCAGCACCTTTCAGCACTCTTCACCCTGCTTCTCATGATGGTTTCCTTAGCGGCCAGAGATCTAACCCCCTTCCTCCGGCAGCTTCCCTCTGGGCCCCAGAAAAGAACAGCGAGGCCAGACAGCGAATCGGTAGTTGTTTTTTGTTTTTAATTCGTCTCTAATAAGCAACACCATCTGCCCACCCCTGCATGGGAAGTGGGACCCAAGAGAGGAGGCCTAGCACCCACTTTTCAGAGTTGGAGGCAGAGGCCTGGGAGGCCTTGAGGCTCGGATCTCCCCACTGGGTGCGTGGAGGGCACAACCCCCCACCCAGGATAGGTTAGGTTTCAGCTACTTGGCCACGGACCCTTGGGAGCAGTAGAGAGCGTGTAGGCCCTGGGGCTCTTGTCCTGGGACAGTTAGCAGTTTGGAGGTACCCCTGGCCCCCTGAGCAGTTAAGAGATTAGGGGGGCTGATCCTTGGCCATAGGGGTGGTTAGAGGCTGTGGGCTGTTAGAGACAGGCTGCCCAAGCCTCCGCCGCCAAGAATGTTAGAGATTTGCTGAGGTCAGGGGTGCTGGGACACCAGTTTTGGGAGAGAATCGTTAATACACTGAGGAAATGTTCTGAGCTCCCCAGAAAAGAGCTGTAAGTTAGAGGAGGGCCAGGGCTGGTTGGGGCCAGCTGTCCCAAGGCTGGGCGTCCTGCCTGGGAGATGCAGTGGTCACTGGGGTTTCTCTCCCTCAGTGGTCCTGGCCTCGTCCTTGGTGGGAGGTGGTGGAGAATTCCTGGGGGAAGCTGAAGTAGTGGGGTTGGGGGCCCCCGACCCCGACTGGGCATCTATGTTGGCATGCTCCTTCCGAACAAGGTCCTCCAGCTCCTTCTGCAGGGGGCAAAGTTCACAGAGGTCAGAGGTCATCATGCATCATTGGGTCAGAGGACCTGTGGGAGGGGGATTCAAGGACTGGGCTCGGGGTGAGCTGGGGTGATAGCTCCTCACCTTCCATCCGAGGAGGTCGGCAAGGGCCAGGCAGCCCTGGTCACAGTCGCCCAGCCAGGCCACGTCCCTGAGGGCGAGGGAAGAGTCAAAGCTCCCAGGCTTGTCCCAGCACCGGTGGCTCTGCCTGTCCTTTGCCGCCATGCCTTCCCTCCCACCTGGGCCCCGTCCCTCCCCGGCCCCACCTCACCCCGCTGCAGGCCCGGGCCTCACCTGTAGGCCTTCTTGGAGTCAAAGTCCATGCCTCCTCCGAGGGCCATCATCATCCCGAGGAACGGGTCAGTCTGTGGGGGAGGGGGAGCTAAGAGCACAGACCCTGGAGCCAGGGGGCCTGGGTTTGAACCCCAGCTCTGTGACTTTGCTCAAGTGGCCTGGCCTCTCTGGACCTCAGCTTCCTTCTCTGTGGGGTGGGGGTAATCACCACACCCACTCCGAGGATGATACTGTCAGTGGGTTAATGCAGAGAAAATGCTGAGCAGAGTATATGCCACACAGTGTGTTTTTTCGCCTGCTGGAGGAAACAGCTGTCCCGGGGAGGGAGCCCCTGCCTGGCACAGAGGTCACCTCAGTTTGAAAAGAGAGCTGAGAGACGGCACGGTGACTCCTGACGGCTCTGCTGCCGGCCCGGGGGCACGGGAAGCTCACTGTTTTGGCTTAAGTTGCTCTGAGCTGGGGTTCTATCATCCCCTTAAAAGGGTGAATGGGACTTCCCTGGCGGTCCAGTGGTTAAGAATCTGCCTGCCAATGTAGGGGACATGGGTTCCATTCCTGGTCTGGGAAGATCCCACATGCTGCGGGGCAACTAAGCCCGTGTACCCCAACTACTGAGCCCGGACCCTCGAGGCTGTGCTCTGCAACAAGAGAAGCCACTGCAGTGAGAAGCCCGCCATGCACTGCAGTAGAGTAGCCCCTGCTGGCCACAGCTAGAGAGAGCCCAAGTACAGCAACGAAGGCCTACTACAGACAACAGTCAGATCAAAAAGGGTGACTGACCGCGAGGCTTGTGGGACCCTGGAGTCAGGGTAGCCTGGAACCTGACCCCTGAGGATTCCAAGATCCCCAGGTCTGAGATGAGGGGCCCAGAGTATTGGGCTTCCCCAGAGACCTGTGCCCTGGTTCCCAGGGGGTCTGGGGGAGGTGATGTGGGGCTCGTGTGTGGGGGTGGCGGGGTAGGATGAAGAAGACTCACCTGGCCAGTCTTCTCCTTGTTGATGAGCAGGCGCGGGGTGGACAGGGGCGCCCTGGGGGATGGTGAGCTGAGTGCTGAGGGCCTGTCACGGCTCCCCCGGCCCCCCAGCAGCCCCCCACAGCCCCAGCCCCCAACCTACTTGCCGATGAGGGACGCAAAGGGCTGCACCTGCAGGGAGGTGCCCATGATGATAAGGAGGTCCACCTTCAGGAAGTCCTACGAAGCAGGAGCGGTCAGTGAGGTCAGTTGCCAGCCCCTGTCCCCCACTGCAAGCCCACCCGCAGCTACTTGGGGAAGCCACCTGCCGCAGGGCAGGACTTAGGCTGCCCCTGCGTGGGCCGAGATGGAGCGGCTGGGACACTTACTGACTGCATGCAGGAGAAGAAACGCGCTGGGAGGTTCTCGCCGAAGAACACGATATCTGAGGGGGAGACAGATGGACAGACAGACATGGGGACAGAAAGAGATGGTGAAAAAGCGGGGGACAGAGACAGGGAGGGGAGAGAGAATGGGCAGGAGCAGAAGGTGGACCCCAGGGCTGGGGCGGGAGTGTGGATGGGGCAGTGGGAAATAGGCCGGGGGCTACGGCACCCTCAACCATAGTCAGGGAGAGAGGGTGACCAGGGTGGGGTGGATGGATAGGGAGCATGGCCTTCTTGGGAAGGGGTTAGCAGGTGTGCAGGGTCCCAGCCCAGATCTACCTCAGTTGGTCCCAGGCCCCAAGGCTCACCAGGCTTCACCAAGCTCTGACATTTCTCACACTTGGGAGTCACCTCGGAGAAGATCTTCTCTGGGCGTGGGGAAGGGGAGGAAGAGGAAGAGGTAAGAGGCACTGGGCGAGGCTGCAGCCTGCCCATGCCACCCCCTTCATTGTCAATACAAACACATCTCAATCATGGGGGAGCCTCCTGCGGCGTTTGCCCTGCCCAGGAAAGACCTCCTCCCAGCACCAGCCTACAGCCATTACATGAAAGAACAAATAAACAGACACGTCCCAAAAGGGGCAACTGGGTTCCACCAACCCCCAACTTGGGGAATCTGGACTTGGGAGTGAAGTTCTTCCCATGGGTCTTTTTTTTTTCTTTTTAAATTTTATTTATTTATTTTTGGCTGTGCTGGGTCTTCATTGCTACATGGGCTTTCCTCTAGTTTTTGCGAGCGGGGGCTACTCTCTAGTGGTGGTGCACGAGCTTCTCATTGAGGTGGCTTTTCTTGTTTTGGACCATGGGCTCTAGGGCACACGGGCTTCAGTAGCTGAGGCTGCCGGACTCTGGAGCACAGGCTCAATAGCTGTGGTGCACACATGGGCTTAGCTGCTCCACAGCACATGGGATCTTCCCGGATCAGAGATCAAACCTGTGTCTCCTGCGCTGGCAGATGGATTCTTTACCACTGAGCCACCGGGGAAGCCCTTCCCGTGGGTTTGTGAAGGCAGCCCTACTTCCATCACGGGTCAGGTCAGAGAGACCTGGTGGGTGCCAGGTCAGTGGCAGAGAGGGAAGAATTATGCAGATAATCCTGGGATGGGGACAAAAACTTAGGTCCAGGTGCTTCCCACTCTTAGGCTCAGTGACAGACCCCCTTCCCACACCACACACCATGCTATGACAATCCTCCTCCTCATTGCTTATTAATTAGAGCTGTAAAGGCCTCTGTCACTTGCAACCCACAGAATCCTAGCTTGTTCATTCAAATATTCACTCACTCCTTCAACAAATATTTATAGAGCACTGAGTTAAGGTCTGCCATTTACTTTAAAATATTTCTGCATTGACAGCTCATGATGTTTTGTGGGTGATGCTTGTGTTACTGCTGCAAGGGACACATAAAGGGATAATGTTAATTGTACATGACCCCCAGCTGCCTGCACTTGGGCCATTCAGGAACCCTTGCCCCAGGGGCGGTCAGCTGGCATTTTGTCAGAAGGGCTACACTCCAAAAGCCCTACTATCAGCACTGCAGCTGTCCTTGTCCCAAATGGACACCAGAGGCTTTGTGAAATCAGCATAAAGAAGGTCAGAAATGGGTTTGCATGGATGAAATAAGTGGCTTCTTAATCAGCACAATGGATATCAGAAATCAACTCTCACTGGCATTCTAGAAATGTGGACTGACTGGGTATTTTTTTTCCTTCTTCTTCTCTTTTTGGATACTCTGCCCTCACATGAACAGGGATAGTGACTTTAGCAAGCCCTGGAGTCTCTTCCCTCAGGGACAGCCCCCACCCAGCCTTCATACCAGGGCTGTGCCAGCCTCACATGTCACAGACTCTGCTCACCTGAATCCGGCTAACGGGCTGGTTGAGTCCTGTGTCTCTGGGGCAGTGCTGTCCAATATGGTGGTTAGAGCCACATGTGGCTTTTACATTTTAAATAATACAAGCTGAAGAAAGTTAAGAGATTCGGTTCCTTGGTCATTTTAGCCACATTATAAGAGCTCAATTGCCCCATGGAGCAGATGGCTGCTATGTTAGACAGTGAAGATATATGTAGAACATGCCCCTCACCACAGAAAGTTCTCTTAGATACTTCTGCTCTTCTTAGAATGTAGTTGTGTTGGCCTGGATGAGGCCCTCATGTAAGAAGGGGTCAAAGCACCCAAAGGACAAAGGGCTAGGGTTTCATGACCTCACGCAACAGCCTGGATGACCACGTGGAGGCCGGTATGCTAACACACATCGCTGTGTCTGGAGCCTGCATCCATTATACCCTGGCTATGAGGTGGGGTTGGGAGCAGAGAACCCCCACTGCCACCTCACATCTTTAGGGGCTGCCATTACCTGCTGAAAAGAGCCGCAGAGACTTCCCTGGTGGTCCAGTGGCTGAGACTCCACACTCCCAATGCAGGGGGCCTGGGTTCGATCCCTGGTCAGGGAACTAGATCCCACATGCCCCAACTAAAGATCCTGCATGCTATAATAAAGATCAAAGATCCTGCATGCCCCAATTGAAACCTGGCACAGCCAAATAAATAAACAAATAAATGAGAAAAAAAAAAGAGAGAGAGAGAAAGGAAGAGCTGCAGAGCTGCGCAGGACTGAGCTGGTGTCTGTGAATGGAGACCCTGTCCCCGGCGCTGAGGAGCAGACGGGGGTAACCTCCAGCCCCTCACCTTTCATCCAGCTCAGCGAGTACTCCTGCCGGCAGCCTGAGCTGACGCAGTGCGACGTGTAGAAGGTTCCGTGGGCCTCCACCAGGTCTTCAGGTTCCAGCCCAGCCACTCGCTCCAGGGTGTCTATGTTCTGGAGGGAGACACAGAGGGGAGAGGGTCAGGAGTGAACCACCTTCCCCTCCCAGGGGTCAGAAGACAGAGCAGGGGACTGCAGCTGAGAGAGGCAAGTGGGATAGGGTGAGAAGAGAGGAGGGGCGAGGCAAGGGGCAGGGGTGTGTCTAAAACTCTTTGGTTCCCGCTGATTGTGCCTCTGAAAAGTAAGCCCTGGAAACTTCAAGGCAGGGGCCCAAACTCAAATGCCTATGAACCCAGGCCACTGCCACCAACCAGCCCTGGTGTTTTTCTGCAAAATCAGGCCATTTTGCTTCCCTTTTGTGGAAGATTTGTTCTGTTAGAACCAGACACTCTAGTGGCACCAGTTGGAAATTTGGTGAAATAAATGTACCAATCTTCAGTGTCTCTACTGTAAACACAGCCCTCTCAGATATGGCATCCCTGTGCAGTACCCAACCTGCACAGCTGTCTGTGGCAGGCTTGGCCAGACATTAACACAAATCAATGAATCAGGAAGTTTTTTTTGAGTTTTAATTACAGTTCTCCTATTTAACAGTCGGGTTTCTTACTGTGATCTGCTGCACAGATAGTATATTAACTTGTATTCTTTTCAGACAGAATTACTTTCCTTAGTCAACACACAAGGATATTTGTCTCTTTCACATTTGTGTTTATAGATAATATATTAACTTGTATTATTTTCAGACAGAATTACTTTCCTTAGTCAACACACAAGGATATTTGTCTCTTTCACATTTGTGTTGATAGATAATATATTAACTTGTATTCTTTTCAGACAGAATTACTTTCCTTAGTCAATACACAAGGATATTTGTCTCTTTCACATTGGTGCTTTCTCTAGCCATTTTGGAGCAGCTTTTGTTTGCCCACAAGGAAATGCCACCAAGGCAGGTGCTTCTGGAGGACCTAGCGGATGTTACAGAGATGGCCAGGCACATGCAGCCCACAGCTGACCCAATAAGGTTTCCCGGAGACTCCGCGAACCACCATTCCATTTCCAACTGCCCTGCTTCCAGTCAGCCCTCAGTTTATCCGCAAAACATGCAGACGAAGAGTCTCTGTTTCCAGATTTTCTGTGGCTTTCCCTTGCCCCAGCCTACTAGAAATGCTAGTTTTGCCTTTGTTCCTGGACTTCCTCACATGCAAGTAAGCAGTGTGTATGCGAATAACTGGGCTTCCCTGGTGCTCGGATGGTAAAGAAGGCAGGAGACCTGGGTTCGATGGCTGGGTGGGGAAGATTCCCCTGGAGAAAGGAATGGCAACCCACCCCAATATTCTTGCTTGGAGAATCCCATGGACAGAGGAGCCTGGCGGCTACAGTCCATGCATGGGGTCGCAGAGAGCTGGATGACTGAGCAACGAACACTGCTCACTACTACTCATGCAAATAACTAAATGGCATGTCAAAGGGCTACCTACGTGCCTCTGTGTTACCTTTTGATGCCACTTAAAAAAAATTATGTATTTGGCTGCACCAGGTTGTGGCACGAGGGATCTTTGATCTTTGTTGCTGCATGCAGGATCTTTGGCTGTGGCATGCAGGATTTTGTTCCCTGACCAGGGATAGAACCTTGGCTCCCTGCATTGGGAGCTTGGAGTCAGCCACTGGACCACCAGGGAAGTCCCTTGATGCCACTTTTGATGGGGCACCCACAAATAAACAAAAACGAAAGTGGCTGGGGAGTTCCCTGGTAGTCCAGCGGTTAGGACTCGGTACCTTCATTGCCATGGCCTGGGTTCAATCCCTGGTTGGGGAACTAAGATCTTGCAAGCTGTGAGCACAGCCAAAAAGCAAAAAGAATGTGTCCAGACTTAGCAGCAATGACCGCATGGAGACACGGAGCAGTTGATGTCTGGCCTTGGTGCCAGGCAGGGAACAGGGTGTGGGGAGGAGGTGGGCTGCTCAGCTCTAGTCAACGGCTCCGCACTCCACCACCCCCAGAAAGCCACCTGGGGTGTAGCCAGCTCTTCCATATCTGCAAGAGGAGCCTGAAGTCTGAGTTTTCATCTGCAATCTCTTTTGATTGTCAAACGTTAGCTCACTTTCGGTTTCAAGATATCACGTCTCTGACTGACATGCTTTTAAAAAGCATGAAGTGGGCTTCTCCGGTGGCTCAGTGTTAAAAAAATTCGTGTGCTGATGCAGTAGACATGAGTTTGATCCCTGGTCCAGGAAGATCCCACATGCTAAGGGGCAACTAGGGGCAATTGAGCAACTACTGAAGCCCGCACAAAGCCCCTAGAGTCTGTGCTCCATAACAAGAAAAGTCACTGCAGTGAGAAGCCTATGCACTGCAACTAGAGAGCAGCCCCTGCTTGCTGCAACGAGAGTAAAGCCTGTGCAGAAACGAAGACCTAGCACAGCCAAAAAAAGAAAAAAGACTTCTCACCTATAAATGGGAAAAATATTTTTTTTAATTAATAAAAACCATGAAGCTGCTATGTGGGTGAGTCTAAGGAAGGGTCTTCCAAGTAAGGGTTTTAGGGAAAGAAAGCGGAGTATAAACCCGATGTATAATGTAAATGTCACAGATACAGATTTAAGAGTAGAGATCACAGAGACTTGACTGAAGGAAACAACTGTTCTTCTGTTTGAATGGATACTTGTGTCTTGAGATAAAAATAGCATAGCTTCAAAAGTGCTACATCGTCACAATTCAGGAAGACGTGAAGACAGTGTGTTCCAGAAAACTGGGTCAGTGACTCAAAAAGTGGCTGAGGTTGAAGAACAGGGTGAGGAGGAGTTGAAAAAAAGAATGGTTTCATGAAACATGAGAGTGGAAAAATGTTTCCACCTGTGTGTAATGTAATGCGCCAGTGTGAATATACATGTAGACTTAAATCTGTGTGTGAAGTATTATAAGTAAGGGGAAATGCCATCACATTTCACACTGACCCCAGAACATATTCATGTTGGCTTTCATGTAAAAAATACCCTGCAGCTGTTGTGCTTTCGTGGTTTGGGGCAGGAGAAGGGGGTGCCTCATATGGAGCTGGGGAGTCAGCCCTCTGAGCATGTAGGATGAACCACGTGGTCCTGGGTCTGGGTTTCTCGTGCTAGGACCCCTGTGATCTCCTGGTCTCTCCTGCTCTCCAGCTCAAGTCCAGACGCCTTAGTGTCTGGCTGACTGTCTGCCTATAGCTCCATGTGGCTGTCTAACAGGCATCTTAACCACGACGTGCCTTCAGCCAAACTCTTCCTCTGCCCCCAACGCCTGCACATTCCACCATCTCAGTAAAAGACAGCAGGTGCTCAGGCTGAGAGATGTCCGACCATCCCTGACTCCTCTCCTTCTCTCAAGAACCGTTTCACATTCAATCCAACAGGAAGTCCTGGTGGCTCCACCTTCAAAACGGGTTCACAAGTCACCCACTTCTCCCCTTGGATAGCCCCTCCCTGGCCCAGCCTCCATCCTCTCCTGCTTGGATCATCACTGTAGCCCCTTCCCTGGTCTCTGTGCCCACCCCTACCCCCAGTGCTCCCTCCCGCAGCCTGCCCTCCACATGCACTTAGAGGGACCCTGGAACACCCAGGGCAGATCATGCCTTGGCCCTGCCCAGAGCCCTCCTGTGGCTCCACCTCCCACCAGGGAAAGGACAAAGCCCTCCCAGGGGCCCCCAAATGCCCACATGGCCCAGCTGTCACCTCCTGACCTCATCTCCTCTGTCCTTTTCTACTGCTGTCCTCCGCGCTCACTCAGATCCAGCTATTTGAACACGCCAAGTGCAGCCTCACCTCAGGGCCTTTGCACTGGCTGTGCCCTTTGCTTCTCTCCCTGAGATGATCCCATGGCTCCCTCCCTCTCCTCCTACAGGTCTTTGTTTAAATGTTCCTTTTTTCTGTAAGGCCTTCCCCGACTTATTGTTCACAAGAGCACCCATCTCCCTACGCACAAACAGAACTTCTGATTCCCCTTTCCTGCTCAGCCGTGCTCCATAGACGTCTCAGCATGAGACAGACTAGATACTCAACTCATCCTTCTCATCCACTGTCCCTCCCCACCCTAGAGTGTCAGCTCCAGGAGGGCAGGGATGTCTGCTCCCTCTGTCTACTGCCTGCAGGGCCTGGCACTGGTTGGCACTCAGGACATATTGGGACAGAGCTGATGAACAGGATTGACAGCAGGGCCGTGGGGAAGATTTCATGAAATCACACACAGAAGATGCTTGGCTTCAGGTGAGCTGTTTGTATCATGTCTGAACGTATTCCATGGATAAAAGTTCAGGTCTATCCTGACCTGGGGCTCCCCCCCAGCCCCCACCGGCCCTAGGTGGGAGTACCTGCCCCCTTCTGAGAATTCTGGACATGAAAAAAAAGACTTCATCCTCCCCCTGGTGGCAGATTCTGAGGCTGCAGGCTCTAGATTGCCTGGCCAGGAAGAAAATAATAGAACACCTATTTCTACCTGTGGGTTCTCTCTATTTTATAATTTTGGGTTCTGAGATATAAATTAGAGCAGGCATGGTATCACTGCTCTAGTAGGTCCTGTAATTCAACACATATTTATAAAACAAAAGTAGGGGCACACTTTTCACTATTGGGTGTGTGAGACCCCAAAAGTCTCACCAACTAGGAAGCCAAGAATGTGCGCTGTCCTTACCTGAGGACCTCTGGGTGAGGCCCTCAGCTAAGTGCCTGACATTCATAAGCTGTGGCCCCATGGCCCAGACAAGGCCTTTGTGCAAATCATAAGAAGCTGCCCCTTTCTTAAGACTCTATGGCCACCAACTGGAAAACCGTCAGGGTGCAGCAATCGTGCTGGGCTTCCCTGATGGCTCAGATGGTAAAGAATCTGCCTGAAACATGGGAGACCTGGGTTCAATCCCTGGATGGGGAAGATCCCCTGGAGAAGGAAATGGCAACCCACTCCAGTATTCTTGCCTGAGAAATCCCATGGACAGAGGAGCCTGGTGGGCTACAGTCCATGGGGTCACAAAGAGTCAGACATGACTAAGTGACTATCACTTTTACACTTCAGTGATCGTGCTAGACCAAGTCACTTCAGATCATCTGATGGAAAACCCAAAAAAACATGGTGCCAAAGGAGTCTGCTCAGAGACGGGGTCCTTTCTCAGTACTCACGGGGTGGCCCCCTGAGGGAGGTCACTGCCACGCTACCACAGGCCTGAGAGGGTGAGGTGGTTCTGACCTCTGCTTTTCTTTCCCACCCATCCTGTGTGGCATGTGGAGTCCTCATCCCTGAACAGGATCACACCTGTGCCCCCTGCAGTGGAAGCAGCATGGAGTCGTAACCACGGGACTGCCAGGCAAGCCCCTGGCCTGTTTCACAGAAAGGGAAACGAAGGCTGAGAGAGGGGACGTGACTCACTGCAAGTCACACAACAGAGAGGCTGCGGCCTGAGCTCTTGAGCCCTCCTGCCCGCCCCTTCCTCCCAGGACGCCCGAGGTCCTGCCTACCTGTGTGTAGCAGCGCAGGAGCAGCCCTTTCTCCTTCAGCAGGCGGATGAAGTAGTGGCAGATGGTGGGCTGGAGGGAAGCAAGCACTGCGATGCTGACTGTGTACCGCCCTGTGCCAGGAGCTGCTCCAGACCAGCTTCTCCTCATGGACTCTTCACACCATGAGGCACAGACCTTCACTATCCCCGTTTCCCAGGTGGGGGAACTGCGGCTCAGGGAGGGTGACTGTCTGGCCAAAGTCGCACAAACTGTGGAGTTGGCGTTGGCACAGAAGCAGCCTGGCTCCAGAGTCTGGGCTCTTACATGTATCATTAGCTCATTTAAGCCTCACAGCATTTCTTTTCACGATTATCAGCTCCATTTTACAGATGGGAAAACTGAGGTCCAAGGACACAAGAGCAGGAAATGAGAGAACAGGACTTGGACTCAGGTAGTCTGGGCCCAAAGCCCACGCTGTTTTGTTTTGTTTTTCACTATGCTTCAAGGCTTGCAGGATCTCAGTTTCCTGACCAGGGACTGAACCTGGGCCATGGCAATGAAAACCCGGAATCCTAACGAGTAGGCCACCAGGTCCCATGTATTTAATAGTTGCAGGCTATTTGTCTAAAGGGCCCTGAAGGGGTCCTTCCCATGCCTGCTGGCCCCCAATTTTTCCTGTCCCCACTTCCACAAGAAAGAGCTCACCTTGAACTGCCCAGGATAGAGTTCCTTGGCGAGAGCAAAGAAGGGCTCTGGATGTTTCTGTGGGAGAGAGAGCCGGAGGGCAGGTGGGCACCCAGATGCCCCTGGTGAGATGTGAGTGGGAGCCAGGAGGCCCTGTCCACCCCCCGTGACGACAAACCTTCCTCTCTGTGCAACACACCTTGAAGTAGCTGATTTCAAAGATGGCCTCCGGGTAGGGAAGACGGTATTTCTCCAGGTTGGCGTAGAGGCCGGTGTTTGGGGAGCGGAAGTCAGGGATGCCTGCAGCTGGGGGAGGCGGGGCAATCAATAAGGGACCCTGGCCCCTTTTCTTTCGCCCCCCAACACAGCTCCTCCCCAGGCCCTCGGAGGGGCACCCCAACCGGCGAGTGGCTTTTGGGGGAGGGGAGCACTTACAAGTGGAGATTCCAGCTCCCACCAAACAGATGACCCTGCGACCTGGAGGAGGAGAGTTTAGGCAGCATGTGTTTTTCTCTTTTTCAACTTACATTTGTTTATTGTTGTTTTGAACATCAAACATTGCTCCAAAATATGAACTGTTTATCTTAAGAGAGTTGTCTTTGCCATAAATTAAGTACTGAACTGATGTTTACAATTGATTTTTTACAACTTAAAAAACTTCTAAGTAGCACTGCTGTCTAATAATCAGATATATCATCATGGACTGAATGTAATGATTTAAAAAGTAAAGTTTTTTAAAAAAAGAGCAATGTTTTCCTTTCCCATTCTTACCTCTTAGGTAATTGCACCTATCACAGTCTCTGAAGCCATTTACTCTGTGCCAGGCCCTGTGGCGAGCACTTGGCTCTCTGAATGGCTCTCTAAGCCATCTCAAGGTGGGTGGTATTAACATTCCCATTTTACAGATAAGGAAACTGAGGCTTAGACAGGGGAAGGGGTCATACATTTGACTGATGAAAGAGCCAGCATGTGGTCAAAGAATCCATTGGTTAAGATTACACCAGTGCACTCCAGTATTCTTGCCTAGGAAATCCCATGGACAGAGGAACCTGGCCAGGCTACAGCCCATGCACTACTGAAAGACTAACACTTTGTTTCTTCAAGTGACTGTTGAAATGTGCTGCCTTGAGGGGTTAGGTGGAGGTGTTGAAGATAATTCTCAGGTTTCTGGTTGGGACAAATGTACAGCTGTTCACTGAAGTAAAGAACTGAAGAAAGTTTGTTGACCCCTGCATCTATGGGATATTCAGAGACTGTTTAAAAATATATATATGAAGATTTCAGCTTATGAAGCTATCATCTTAAGAAAAATGAAGAGTATAAAGATTTAGATCTACTCCAGGAAATCTATAAACTTAAAAAAATCACAGAATACTGTTAAGAAAAATTATCCAACAGTTAGAATAAAGACAGTGTAGCATGACCAAAAAAAAAAAAAAAGATTACACCAGTGTAGCAAGATTCATGAAAAGGCCACTTGGAGGGAAGTTTCTCCTCCCAGCTAGATCTGGACAAACACATGAGATCTTAGTGAGAAGTAGATCTTAGGGAGAAGGCCGGGAGGGTGTGTTCCCCCAGAAGTGCTGCAGGTTATTGTGAAAAAAAAAAAAAAAATCTCTGGCCACCTCTTTATCTTCTGGACACAATATTGGACAGCCATCTATTTCCAGCTTAAGATACACATTCCTCCATCCTATTCCTTCCCTCCATAATCAAATGCATGTTAGCCACCAGAAGTCAATAATTTTCAGGTGAGGATCCAAGCTGGGCCATTCTCAGCTCACACACAGTGAGCAGCAGAGTGGATAAGGGCTTCCAATCCTGGCTTTCCTGGGCACCAGCAGGGCTGTGGGGGAGTGGGGCGGGGGTGGGTCTTAGTTCAGATCACCACGCTGGGCTTTAGCTTCCTGCTCTGTAAAATGGACACAATCACTGTACTGGCCTCGTGGGGGCTGTTGAGACAAGGAATTCTCTCCTGTGAAGCTGAGATCAATGCCTAGCACTAAAGATTCTTCAAGACACTAGTACTCAACTTCTTCAGACCTGTGATTCATATCCCTATAAGCACTTTGTTCCCCCAATGTCACCAGTTTTTGGAAAAGATGGGAAGATGTGGGCGGGGAGAGGTGGAGTCATTTCACAAACATGCAGGGCTGTGCAGAATTAGCCTGACTGCCTCTTTGGTGGCTGGCTGGCAGCCCTGCCGCGCAGCACCCTAGGCATCTGCCAGTCGGCTGATGGACACACACAAGTGTGAGGGCCTCTGGGGTGTCAGGATGCCATCGGATCAGGCCTGGCAGACCCAGTGGACCCAGTAGAAGGGAGTGAGTGTGAACTCTAGATTCAGGAGCCCTGACTCTGCCTCTTTCCAGCTGTGTAACCCCGTACCAGGTCACAACCTCTCTGTGTCTCAGTTTCCTCCTCTGCCCAGGAGACTCCTCACAGGTCTCCTGTGCAGACCCTATGAGGGGGTGCCTGTCAAGTGCGTAACCCAGTGCCTGGCAAAAGGTGAGAGCCCGATTCATTGTTATCATTTATTATTATCCCCTCACAGGCACCATCAATTATTCTAAAACCCAGGTGCAGGAGGATGGACGGAACGAAAGCTTTGTAGCCACTGCCTGTATTCTCTTTGGGGCCCACCCAAGCCAGAAAATGGGGCTTCCTGAGTGGCTCCATGGTAAAGAATCCGCCTGCCAATGTGGGAGATGCGGGTTCGATCCCTGGGTCAGGAAGATCCCCTGGAGAAGGAAAGGGCAACTGACTCCAATATTCTTGCCTGGGAAATCCTATGGACAGAGGAGCCTGGCGGGCTACAGTCCGTAGCATCGCAAGAGTCGGACATGATTTGACTAAACGACAACAACAAAGGCGGGAGATGGCTGAAGGCCGCTGCTCCAGGGGGGCCAGGGGGCCCAGGGGGGCTCAGGGCGTCCGGCTTGGCTGCCTGAGGAGAGATGGCAGCAGCTGGAGGACAGGGACACTGGAGGAGACGTCCTCAACAAAAGGCTGTTCAGGACCCTCAAAGGGTCGATTGTTCTAAGTCAAGGACTGCCAAGGGCTCGGTTTCTCAGACTCTGGTGAACCTCAACTTGAGGCAAGAAATATAAATTACCCGGTGACCTGGTAAAAAATCTCTATACCACACCCGGAACAAGCCTCCTATAAGAATCGTCACGGGACACTTAGGCAATGCTTGCTCTGTTTCAGGTGTTCACATCTATAAATCTATGTAATCCCTCTGCATAATCCTGGGGCTTCCCTGGTGGCTCAGATGGCAAAGAGTCTGCCTGCAGTGCAGGAGAAGAGGGTCTGATCCCGGGGTCAGGAAGATCCCCTGGAGGAGGGCATGGCAACCCACTCCAGTAGTCTTGCCTGGAGAATCCCGTGGCCAGAGGAGCCTGGCTGGCTACAGTCTATGTGGTCCCAAAGAGAAGGGAGGAAGCCATGGGGATACCTGGGGGAAGAGTCTATTCCATAATCTTATAAGGTAATTACTATTATTAGCATCTTCACTCTAATAAACAAGCCTGACCAATAGAGACCCGGTGATTGGTTCGGGGGGTAGGACTGTGACCCAAGCTGGGCTAATCAGAGCCAATCTCTGCTCTTGTGCTTGAACCACTGGGAGAAAGAGGCTGTTTTTCAGTGGGAGCTGCTAGGCTGGTAGAACTTGTATTTACAGCTGCCAGGAGCTCCCAATACAGAGAAGAGCCAAGAAATGGCTCAGCACAGAAGTTGCTGAATCCAGCCACACTTCAGGATCAACAGTTACAGGATCAACACACTCCCTTTTTGGCACCAGCCAGTTTGATTTGGGTTTCTTGCGACTCGCAGACGTAAGCTGTGAATGGTTTGGGGCTGAGAAGTCATGAGAAGTGTGTTGGGGGGGTGGGGGTGGAGTCATGCAGGAAGGGGCCCAGGGGGGCGGGGAACTCACAGCGCTCGCTCTGCATGTAGCGGCTCACTCCTTCTAGGGTTAGTTCGTCCAGGAGTCGCTCCTTCTGGGTGCCCAGGCCCAGAGTCTGGGAGAAAAAATTCCGCAGGAAGTCCACTGGCCAAAAAGAAGAGAAACAGTGGTTGGGTGGGTGTTTGTTCAAGGGGACACAGAGGTCCTGAGTGCCCCTGCCCAGCCCTGGGGTCTCCTGTCTTCCCACGACTAAAGGTTGGATGCCTGGCCCGGCCAGGGATCCCGAAGCACTGCATCTGTTCTTACACACTTTGCACGTTACCCCCAGTGGAGGTGAACACCCGGATCCCTGCCCTAAACCACCCTCCAGAACCCCCCAGAACCATGCTCCCAAGGCAGATACTCACTCTCTGCTTCTCCGCCAGTGGCTCCTGCCTCAGTGTCTGAATCTGAGTCCTGGAAGGGGTGGAGGTGGGGTGATGAGGTCCCAGAAGTGGGGTTAGGGAGGGGAAGAGGGGATGACACCAGGGTTCTGGGGAAAGGCTGTGGCTGGGAGGTGGGCCTGAGGGAGTGAGGGGCAGAGGGGACCGTGCTGGGGTCACGTGTGGGCTCTGGGACAGGCTGCCTGCGTTGGAAACCCAACTCTGCAACTCGAGAGGAGTGTGGCCTCCTGTGGGTGACTGCATTTTTTACTGAGTCTCCGAGCTCCTCCTCTCACAAGTGGAGCTTGGAGGACGGAGGAAGGCCACCTGGAGGGCTGTGAGCCATGTGAGGCGCTCACAACAGCCCTGGTCAGGGGCGGTGGTGGTGGCGAGTGCTCAGGAAATGCTGGTTACTGCTCTCATCACCTCCCATTGTCCACGTCCTCACCTTATATCCCCTCCAGGCCCCTGCCCTGCCCAGCAGCTCCGCAGCCACCTCAGCTACGTCAATAATGCTGGTAGAAACGCCTCGGTCCTCACCCTGTCCTCACACCTCGGTCCTCACCTCAGCCCTCTGGCTTAAAGCCCCCCCCCCCTTCCAACCCTTCCGTTTCCTTATCAACTCCTCTCCTCGGCCAGGCGCCCAAATTGCGGGTCTGGGACTCTGTCCTGGGTCCTCCCTCCCGTCTCTGTCCGCCTTCCCTGGGCCAGCTCCCCCATTCACGCCAGTGGTCTCAGCCTGGTCTCTGACGATGCCACCTTTCTGTCTCCAGATCCAGGGTTTCCACAGCCCCTGGATGCCTCCCCCTAAGTGTGACCCCAGACCCCTCATTCTCACGGTGTCCCAAACCAGCCTCAGCATCTCTTCCAAACCTGCTCCTCCCCCTGGGGCCCTAACTTGGTGTGGCTTCTATCCCTGTGTTTGCCAGATGTCTCCTGCCTCCCTCGCCTGCCTTCCTGCCATAGCATGTCCCGTCCCCGGGGCTCCACGTGGGCCAGTCTGTCCCTCCAGGGGCCCTGCCCCGGCCTCCGCCCTAGCTCCTAGTCTCCGTCTCCATCTATGATCTACTCTCCTGCTCTCTGTGTGTTGACCTGTCTGGGTCCACCCTTTGCCCTCCACATCAAAGGCCTTTCTCTTTGGCTTCCCCAGTTTAATCATCTGATCACAAACATCTATGGTGTTTACCATGGTGCCAGCCAGCTCCAAGTCTGGGATTTTTCACGGTCACCACTGGGTAAAAATGTGTGAAGTCCCTCAGTCGTGTCTGACTCTGCAACCCCATGGACTGTAGCCCGCCAGGCTCCTCTGTCCATAGGATTCTCCAGGCAAGAATACTGGAGTGGGTTGCCATGCCCTTCTCCAGGGGATCTTCCCCACCCAGGTCTCCCGCATTGCAGGCAGATTCTTTACTGTCTGAGCCACCAGGAAAGCCAGGTTTCCTTGCTCTAAGATTGTATCTATAAGCTGTACAAAACTCTGACCATTAGACAATGTATAACTTGAAGGTGCTTGCCTCATGAGTCCCTCACCCACAGTCCAGCCCTCCCACCCCATCCTCCCCTTCAAGATAGCCACTATTAACAGTACAATGGTAATTACTCCAGATTTTTTTCTCTGAGTTGGTGATGGACAGGGAAGCCTGGCGTGCTGCAGTCCATGGGGTCACAAAGAGTCGGACACGACTGAGCGACTGAACTGAACTGAAAACTTGTTATTTCCCCAGAAATGGGTCGCTCCACAGTACAATGCCGCGCCTCGCATTTTCCACCAAACAATATATCACAGACCCGCCAGCTACAGAGTGTTGCATTGTACGGTTCATAGTTCATTTAACCCATCAACTGAGAGTCGTTTGGGCTGTTTCCAGTTTGGCTGTATCGCACAATGCTGCAATTTACACCCTCGGATCGCTCTCTTTGGGACTGAGGGTCCCTTTTCCACATGAAACCTTTTTCTCTGACAGTGGCCGGGCTTTGGAAGCCAGGCGAGGGAGAAGCCTGGCCTGACAGGGAGTTCTTGTCCCCTTGGTGTGGCTCGGCCATGCATCTGTGGGGCGCTCTCGTCACAGCTTCTGCTCTGCCCTACATGTGAACCGCGACCTCGTGTCTGTGGGTGGGCTGGCACGCTTTCAGGCTGCAGACAGTGAAGCTCTGTGGAAGGAGGCGAGGGCCCTGCCCAGCACGTGGGAGCAACTTGGTCTCGGGGGGAGCTGAAGGTGATAGTGGAGCCTCTGTGACCCCTGCTTCCAGTGAAGCATCTGGGAGGCAATGTGTCAAGGCGCCGAGGGTTGCAAACCTGTCCCTGGTCGTCTAGCCAATGGACAGAGGACAAGTTGTTAAAGAACTCAGTTTCCAATTCCTTGGCTATAAAATGACCACAGTAGACCCGCACCCCTCCCCTCCACCGCTGCCCCCGGGATGCTAGGATACCCATCAAACACGAAGCAGAGTACCCAGCTGGCTTAAAAACTCGGTAAATGCTAACCATCAAGGTAATCAGCCACCTGAATCCTGAACACATGACACTCTTTCATGCCCTCTAGTATACCCTCTGCCTGGGACACCACTTCTCACCTTGCCTAAGAAAATCCTAAATTACTCTACACCTATTACCATGTGCTGTATCTCAGTCTGACTCCGAGATCAGTCTGTGGATTCTTCCCGGGAAGGGACTGGCTGGAATCTGTGTGATCTCACACTGTTTACTCTGCGCTCCCAAAGTGCCCTGCGCTACTTTCATGATCACCAGTAGAGTCATTGTCGAGTCACACGTCTGTGAGATCTGTGAATTCAGAACCAAATCTCTTCCATGCCCACTGGGAACGAGGTTCAGAAGGGAGAGCGGGTGGGAGGGGTGTGCAAGGAGAAAGGAAAGTTTGCAAGGGCAGGCCTAGGCTTTAGGCCGCACACCCTTCTCTGATAGGCCCCAGAATCCACCATTCCCCCAGGAGCTGAACCACAAGGGGAGGCGGGGTGGGGGGCTGGGGCAGTGAGCTGAGGGCCCTGGGGTCTCTGACTTCCCTCTGCCACCTCCCCCCGTGTGGGGTGTGGGAAGTCCATCTCTCTCCTTCCCTCCACCCTTGTCCCCATCTCACCTGAGCCTCCTGCACCTTCCCTGCCTGGGTCTCCTCGGGGTCAGAGGCTGGGGGAGGAGGGGGAGCAGACGTGGTTACGGCGAAAGGAGTGGTTAAGGGGGAATGAAGGGCTTCCAAGTGGGGGTGCAGAGAGGGGCAACAAGACCCTCCAACCTAGTTATATGGGGGTGGGGGTATAAAAAGGGAGTGGATGGAGGGAGGGAAATGAAGAAAAGCATATCTTATTAGAGTGGAGAGTGCTGGGAGGAGAGATGGTTGGTGAAGGACAAAGAGGCTGGGATAGGGAGGCTTAGGAAAGTGAAAAGAAAGTAAAGCAGATAAGGACACGAAGGAAGACTTAGGAAGAGTTAGGAAGTACACAGTAGTGTGGGAGTGTGTGCTGGGAGGGTTAGGTTTACAAGCAGAAGAAAATGTAGAAAGAAAGAGAGGATAAGGGATACTGGGCCTGGAGGCGGGTTTGCAAGAAGAGGTGGTGGGGGCGGAACGGAAGGGCGAGATGGTAGGTTTAGAAGAGGAAGGAAGAGATAGGAGGGGACACCAGGGGTCCCCGAACACCCTACAGTCCCACTAACAACCAGGTACCCTTAGCAACCCGGACAGCGGTATTCTAAGTCCCTAGTAACAAGGGTCCTTAGCAACTAAGGTGCGAGACACATGCTATCATTAGTAACTTCGGGGACGTGGCAAGCGGACCCTTAAAACCTCGCGAACCAGAAACCCACCAATCTAGCAATCTGTATCACAACGGCTCCCTGAACCGCATTCCCCTCCATGCAGCCCACATCTCCTGCCCCACCACTCCCGCCCTCGGGCCCCGGGGCCTGCAGCCCTCAGCCAGGCCCCGGCACGGCCCGACCCTCCCACCAGGGCCCCCGACTCACGATCCGGATCGGCCATGGGCGCGGGGCGGGGGCCCTCGGGACTGTCACCGACTGCTCTATCCCGTGACGGCACCGGAAACAGGAGGGGGCCGAGATAGGTCAAAGAACTACAACTCCCAGGAGCCATAAAAAACGTCCGGAGCGTGCCCCTCTGAGGTAAGAGGAGACACGCGAGGGCCGGACTACGAATCCCAGAGTGCCTCGCGTCCGCAGCCATGTTGGTAAAGGGCGCGCGGAATGAGTGGGAAAGGGTAGAGAGTCGCAGTCCATCTGAATACTCTGATTGGTCACGGTGTAGTATGAGGGCGGGGCGCTTACTATTTAGCCGACTCTGATTGGGTGAGTCCGGGGGGCGTGTTGGGGAATTCCCAGCAGGGCGGAAGCGCCAGAATTCCAGGCAGAGCCCAGCGACTGGCGGGCAGTCGCTGGGGTCCCCTGAGGCTTAGGGGGCTATGGCCGGGGTCGCGTGTTTGGGGAAAGCTGCGGACGCCGATGAATGGTGCGACAGCGGCCTGGGCTCTCTGGGTCCAGACGCGGCGGCCCCTGGAGGACCTGGGCTAGGCGCGGAGCTGGGCCCGGGGCTGTCGTGGGCGCCCCTCGTTTTCGGCTACGTCACTGAGGATGGCGACACGTGAGTGAACCTTAGCCTGCCACACGAGCCTTAGGATCCCACATCTGATTTCCTGTTAGTCTCTGATACTGATTTTCCAACCTCTGAATCCTAAATCTGTCTTCTAATGCTTACTCTGACCTCTAACCCCCAAGTCTAACCCTTGATAAAATCAGTTTCCAAGCTAGTTTTTATCATAACCCCATTCTTTCTGAAATTCTGGCCCTCAGAGCTTCACATCCATTGATTGATTCCACATTCAAAACTCAATTTGAGCTTCCTGACTCCAGTCCTGAGACCTATCTTAAAACTATAGCTCACAGGCTCCTTCTGACATCTCACCTCCAAATATGATCTTTGATCCTTAGCTCCTAATTTCGGAGCTTTAAATTTTCATTTCCAAAATTAACATTTGGCTTTTGACTCTTAAGATCCCGCTTTCTGAGCACTGATATTCAAATCCTACATTGAAAGAGAAAATGTAAACTCTATGACAGCAAGGATTCATCTGTTTAACAAGTATTTGTCTAGCACCTACAACATTTCAGGCCCAGTTGTAGATGCTGGTGATAAGGCAGTGAAGAAAGCACAACAACTTATGCTTTGTGGAGCTTACATTCTAGTGTGGGGGGGTCTATAAGTGGAAGGGCAGACAGAGTGACAGAAAGGAAGAAAGGAACGGTGGGAGGAGCAAAAAAGAAAGAGAGAAGGAAAGAAAGAAACAGAAAGCCCTATAGACACCAAGTAAGAAAGAGAAGGAAAGAGAAGAAACAGAAAGATGAAAAAAAGAAAAAAAAGAAAAATGGTATGTCAGAAGACAGTAATTTCCTTGGTGAAAAATAAAGCAGGAGAGAGTGAGACAAGCAGATTATCTGGGGAGAACATTCCAGGTAGAAGGAACAATGTCATAAAGACCCAATTGAGGGAATGTACCTGGGGTTTTTGTGTGTTGTGTTTACTGCTGTAGCCACAGTGACAGAACAGTGCCTGACCCATAGGAGGCACTCAAGAAACACCCATCTTCTCAGAGAACCAGCTGTGGTTTCATTTATTTTCTCTCTCTTTTTTTGCTTTCTGTTGTGTTTATCTCTGTTTTGACTTTCGTTATTTACTTTCTTCTGCTTACTTTGAGTTTAGTTTTGTTCTTTTCCTAGTTTCTTAAGGTGAAAGCTGAGGTCATTGATTTGAGGCCTTCCTATTTTTCTAATATAGGTTTCATGTAAATTTCCCGGAGTAGTGCTTTAGCTCTATCTCATCAATTCTAATGTACTGTGCTTTCATTTCCATTTAGTTCAGTATAGTTTCTAATTTCTCCTTTGATTTCTTCTTTGGCCAGTGGATTATTTAGGAGTATGTTATTTAGTTTCCAGATATTCCAAATACCTTCCTTTTATTGGTTTTTAGTTAAATTCTATTGTGTGTGCAGTTGAAAAGAATGTCCATTATCTTGTTGTTGAGTGTAGTTCTCCAGATGTCAGTTAGAGGTTGTATGGGTTTCTTTTCTTGAACTTTTATTTAGTTCTTTTTGGCTGTGCTGCGTCTTTCTTGCTGCCCACGGACTTTCTCTGGTGGGCGAGCGGGGGCTCCGCTAGTCGCGGTGTGAGGGCTTCTCATGTGCTGGCTTCTTGCTGCGGAGTGGTGTCTCTAGGGCACAGGCTGGGTTGTTGCTGCACATTGGCTTTGTTTCCCTGAGGCATGTGGGATCTTCCCGGATCAAGGATTGAGCCTGTGTTCCCTACCTTGGCAGGTGGATTCTTTAGCACTAGACCACCAGTAAGTCCTGTGTTGGTTTCTTTGGTTCTTCTCTTTTTCAAGTCTACTGTATCCTTGTTGGTAATTTCTGTCTACTTGATCTATCATTTATTGAGAGTGGGGTCTTGAAATCTTCAATAATAATTGTGGATTTCCTTGTTGTTTTATCAGGTTTTCCTTCATGTGATTGGATGCTCTGTTACAAGGGGTCCAAATGTTTAGGTTTATTGTGTCCTCTTCCTGAATTGACCTCTTTATCATTGTGAAATAATCTTCACTATCCCGGGTAATAGTCCTTGTTCTGAAATCTACTCTTATTTTAAAGAACTCCTACTTTCTTTTGACTGACAGGTGTTAGCATGGTATATCTTTTTCCATCTTTTTATTCTTAACCTAGTTTTAAATTTATTTGAAAAGCTGTTACTTGTAGGCATCATATAGTTAGGTTTTGCTTTTTTTTTTTATGCTTGTTTTTAATTTATTTGGCTGCATCGACTCCTAGTTGCAGCATATGGGATCTTGTTCCCTGAACAGGGATTGAAACCTGGCCCTCTGGATTGGAAGTGCAATGTCTTAGCCACTGAACCATCAGGGAAGACCCTAGGTTTTGCTTTTTTATCCAATCTGACAGCTTCTATCTTTTTTAAAATTTGTGTTTATTTAGTTGTTTATTTTTCGCTGCACTGTGTCTTTGTTGCTGCGCACAGGCTTTCTCTAGTTGCGTGTGCAGGCTTTTCTCATGGTGGTGGTTTCTCTTGTTGTGGAGCACAGGCTCTAGAGCACACGGGCAGTTGTGGCACATGGCGTTAGTTGCCCCACAGCATGTGGAATCTTCCCAGACCAGGGATCAAACCCATGCCCCCTGACTGCCAATGCATTGGCAGGCAGATTCTTAACCACTCGACCACCAGGGAAGTCCAGTTTCTACCTTTTAATTGGAGTGTTTAGGCTATTTGTATTTAATTAATTATTAATATGGTTCTGTCTGTCATTTCCTTATTAGTTTTCTACTTGCTGCCCCTTTGTTTACCTTTCTCCCCTGCCTTTTGGAATGAGCGAATTTTGTTCCATTGTATTTCTTTTGTCGGCTTGTTACCTTTTCCTCATTATTTTTTATTTTAGTGGTGTGAAAGATAGGTTGGGAAACTGGTCTCCAGGCAAAATCCAGCCAGCTGCCAGCTTTGGTATGGCTGTGAGCTAAGAATGGTTTTTTACATTTTTAACTGGTTGGAACAAAATCAAAAGAACATTTCATGGCAAGTGAAAATTACATGAAATCCAAATTTTAGACTCCATAAAGTAAGTTCTGTTAGAATCCAGCCACACCGCCCATTCATTTATCAATATATATCACCAATGGCTGCTTTTGTATCCTAGCAGCAGAGCTGAATAGTAATAGACAGACCGTAGCATCCACTAAGCCTGAATCATTTATCTGGCCCTTTACAGAAAATGTTTGCTGACTCCTGCTTTAGAGCTTATAGTGGCCCATGGGCTTAGTACGCGCTCCCCAGCCAAGGATCGAACCTGTGCCCCCTGCATTGTGTGGCAGATTCTTTTTTTTTTTTTTCCCATTTATTTTTATTAGTTGGAGGCTAATTACTTTACATCATTGCAGTGGGTTTTGTCATACATTGAAATGAATTAGCCATGGATTTACATGTAATGTGGCAGATTCTTAACCACTGGACCACCAGGAAAGTCCCCACTTTAACTTTATTATGTGCCACCTTCAAGTGCTCCTTCTCATAACATAAAAGAACCTTAGAATTGTGTATTTCCATTTGTCTCTTCCTGGCCTTTAGTGTGTTGCTGTCATAGATTTCCTTTATCCATGTATTCTAAACTTCACCAGGCATTGTTATTTTTGCTTAAACAGTCATTTCTTTTTAAAAACCTATCAGAAGATAGGAGATTTACATATTGAGGAAGAAAAAAATCTTATGTACTTCTATAGTGACTGTTTTCAGTGTTCTTTATTCTTTTGTTTTCCATATTTTCGTTTGATGTCATTTTCCTTTTTGCTCACAAGTTTCCTTGGATGTTTCTTGTGATGTGGGTTGGCTGGTGATGAGTTCCTTTGACTTTTGTGTAGTTGAAAGCATGTATTTTTGCCTCTATCTTTGAAAAATATTTTGGTTGGGTTAAAGAATTGTAGGTTGTCAGCCTGCCTTTGAGTACTTTAAAGAAGTGGCTCCGCTCTGTTCTCTTGCATTATTTCCTTTGTGAAATCTGCTGTCATGCTTATTTTTATTCCTCTGTACTTAAGGTATCTTTTCCTCTGGCTGCTTTGAAGGTATTTATCTCTATTGTTGGTTTTGAACAGAGTTTCCATATTGGGCCCTGGTGTGTGTGTGTGTGTGTGTGTGTGCGTGTGCGGGCGTGCTCAGTCGCTTCCACTGTGTCCGCCTCTTTGTGACCCTGTGGACCGTAGCCCACCAGGCTCCTCTGTCCATGGGATTCTCCAGGCAAGAACACTGGAGTGGGTTGCCATGCCCTCCTCCAGGGCATCTTCTGACCCAGGGATCAAACTTGTGTCTCCTGCAACTCCTCCATTGGCAGGCAAGTTCTTTACCGCTGAGCCACTGAGGAGGCCTCATGCTTACTTCAGTTACATATATATTGGGCTGCTTATATACAGATATATCCCATGGCTCACTGATGTTCTTTCCATTTTGAAGTATCTCTTTGTGTTTCATTCTGGACAGTTGCTATTGTGAAGTCCTGAAGTTTGCTAATCTATTTTCTGCAATATGTAATCTGTTGTTAATGCCATCCAGCATATTTTTCATTTTAGGTGCTGTAGTGTTTTTTGTTTTTAAATATTTATTTATTAGCCAGCACCAGGTCTTAGTTGCAGCGTGTGGGATCTAGCTCCCTGATCAGCGATTGAACCCGAGCACCCTGCATTGGGAGCAGAGTCTTAGCCGCTGGACCACCAGGGGAGTCCCTGTGTCTCATTTTTTTGGTCGATTGGAGATGGGCGTGAAATCTGGTCCATGTTACTTCTTCTTGGGAGGAAGTAGAAGTCCTACTTACTAAACACTGGAGACTTCCCTGGTGGTCCAGTGGTTGAGACTCCGTGCTTCCACTGCAGGGGGCGAGGATTCCATCCCTGGTTAGGGACCTAAGATCCCATATGCCACACAGTGCGGCCAAAAACAAAAAATGAAATAAAACACCAAAGGAACAAAAAAATACCAAACCAAAGCAAAACAAAAAACCCACAATGATTAAATAAATTTGCTGAATTAACTCTGACCTGACCCTCCCAGATTCCTGACAGCTGGTTCTAGAACTGTGGGTCATCATGCTTCGCACAGTGGGTGCTCCATGTTTGTTGAAGGAATGAATGCAAGAGTGCTTGTCCTCAGAAGAAGGAAAACAAACCAACAACCCCTCCCCCCACCAAAAAAAAAAAAACCCCAAGCAAACCTTAAAAAGAATACTTGACCTCTGCCTTCTGACCCTGGTCCCTGTCCTCAGGGCACTGCACTTGGCAGTGATTCATCAGCACGAGCCCTTCCTGGACTTCCTCCTAGGCTTTGCGGCTGGTACCGAGTACCTGGACCTGCAGAATGACTTGGGCCAGGTGAGCCGCCCGTGGGCAGCCTAGGGCTTGGGGGCCAGGATTCTCAGTATGACCCCTCACCCCTGCCTTTTGCTCCTGCAGACAGCCCTGCACCTGGCCGCCATCCTGGAGGAGGCATCTGCGGTAGAGAAGTTGTACGCAGCAGGCGCCAGTTTGCTGGTGGCGGAGCGTGGAGGCCACACGGCGCTGCACCTGGCCTGCCGCGTGGGAGCCCACGCCTGCGCTCGTGTGCTGCTCCAGCCTCGCCCCCAGCGCCCCAGGGGAGCCCCCAAAACCTACCTCGCTCAGGGCTCTGACCATACCCCTGACACCGACCACACCCCTATTGCCCTGTACTCTGATCCTGACGTGGAGAAAGAAGAGGATGAGAGTGAAGAGGACTGGAAACTGCAGCTGGAGGCTGAAAACTATGAGGGTGAGGGTCCCCAGTCACCGCGAAGGGCCCAGGCTCCCAAGAAGAGCGAGGGCACCTGGCTCTGGGCTCAGCTCTCCTGATGCAAAGCTTAGCTCCTTGGGAAATAATCCCAACATTAATAATAATACTCAAGGGACCCAGGCATCAGGACCAAGGATGCCTGCTCAGCCTCAGGTTATTGAGAACCACAGGCCCTAGCCCACCTGGGACAAGGGAACTCAAAGGCCGGGCCCTCTGAAACTCTGGCGACTCAGGTTCCCAGAGGCTGATATCGGGATTCAGGGACAGCTGTCCTCAGCCAGACCTCATGGGAAAATAGATTCTGTCTACCCAGGGCCCTCGCATCGGAGTCTTAGCTCCCCTGTCTCTAAGCCCAGCTATTCAGTACTTGGGAACAGACCCCCACCACAGGTGGAAGGTCAGAACCCAGTGTTCAGGGCCCACCTCACCTCCCAAGGACATGGACCCAGGAATTTGGGGACCTGGTTCTTTGTGAAGTAAGACCAGAGACTCAGGTCCCCTGTCCAGAGCCCCTGGGCTCTTCACCCCTAGGCCCCAGACAACCCCACAACCCAGGCATTGGCACTGCCAGCAAGTTCCAGATCACCTGAGACTTAAGGGATTTGGGATACAGGGCCTCTTTGATACACCCAGGAATGCAGAAGTCAGACCCCAAACTCCGTCAACCTCAGGTCACAAAACCCTCCCCCAGGATGGTGGCATTGGGGGCCCAGTCCCCTCCCCTCTAGCATCTGACAGCGGTCACTCTGTCCCTAGGCCACACCCCACTCCATGTGGCTGTCATCCACAAAGACGCAGAGATGGTCCGACTGCTCCAGGAGGCAGGAGCTGACCTCAACAAACCCGTGAGCCGCCCTAGGGAGAAGGTGTGGTGGGGCGGGGGGTCTCCCCGAGCGGGGCAGGGCCCCAGTCACCTCTCTGCTGTCACCTCTCTGCTGCACCCCTCAGGAGCCCACCTGTGGCCGGAGCCCCCTGCACTTGGCCGTGGAGGCCCAAGCAGCTGATGTACTGGAGCTTCTCCTGAAGGCCGGTGCTGACCCCGCCGTCCGCATGTACGGTGGCCGCACCCCACTCGGCAGTGCCACGCTCCGGCCCAACGCCATCCTCGCCCGCCTCCTCCGTGCCCACGGAGCCCCAGAGCCTGAGGACGAGGACAAGCCTGGCCCCTGCAGCAGCAGCAGCAGCAGCAGCAGCAGTAGCGACAGCGAGAGCGGGGATGAGGGCGTGAGTCAGGAGAGAGCGGGCGGCCCAGCTGGGGGGTCAGGGTTAAAGCGGGCAGGCGGAAGGGGAGAAGACATTAGGCAGCTCACTGAGATCGACTGACACTGGGGCTGCTCTGATTAGAGAGCTCAGGCAGCCGTGCAGGCGATGTCAGGGGAGACCTGGACAGGGGTGGTGGGGAGAACTCGGGCACCGGCGGGGGAGAAGTGAAGGCAGTGGCAGAGGCAGAACTCAGGCAGAGAGAGAGATAAGACCTCGGCCATAGTGGTTGGTAAACAGGCAGCAGAGGGTGGCCGTGGGAGGAGTTTTTTGGGGGGGAAGCAGGACCAGGAGAACGCAGGCTGCGGGAAGGTGACCTTGGGCAGCAGTGATTTGAACACTGGCAGCGGTGGGGAACGACCTCAGCCAGCGGTGAAGGGGCTTCACTGGAGAACCCAGGCAGCGAGACGCGGCTGTGGGCAGGGGTTGTCGCTGATTGGCGGGGGCTGAGGGGTTTGGGTAAAGGCAGAGGGGGAGGCTCCCTGTGGTGGCTGAAGGACTGGAGAGGCCGCAGGGCCGGGAGAACACAGATGGCCTTGAAGGTGGTGATGAGAGAACTAGGAGCTGGGATTCAGACTCAGGAGCCGGGACTTCGGGCTTCGACGCAGCACCCGGTTCCCATGGTGGGTGGGAGAACTTGGGCAGCGGGCAAGGTGGCAGCTGCCTGAGCCCCTCTGCCTGGCCCCTCTGCCCCCAGGATGAATACGACGACATCGTAGTCCACAGTGGCCGGAGCCCCAACCAGCTACCTCCCACCCCAGCGTCAAAACCGCTCCCTGATGACCCTATCTGACTTAACTGTTAATAGTTTCCAATTTAATAAAATGCCAGTTCGGACAACCAGTGGCTAGATCAGCGGTTGCCTCCCCAGGCCTCCAGGTCATTCCTGAGCCCCTGTCCCTCTAAAACCAAGTGCGACGCCATCAGCCTTGGTGGTTTTCTCTGTGCTTTATTCACTCGGGGTGGGGGTGGAGCGGGTCAGGGCATCCAGGCTGTCCTGAGTCAGCTGGAGCCCAGCCCCTCCACCCAGCTCAGACTTGGCCCCTCAGGCCTGGTTTCAAGGCACACCCTTCTCCCCACTCCTGCCAGTTGGGGAGCAGGCTGGGGTGACAGGTTGGGGGTCAACAGTACTAAGCCGTATAGGGTGTGTGGGGAAGGAGGAGGACGTGAGGTCAGCCGCCCCTCCTGAGCTCCTCTTGCAGCATCTCCGTCGCTGCCTTCAGCTCATCGCTCATGTGCTCCAGCCGCTCCACATGGTGCCCCTGGCGGCAACAGAAGTGGGGTCTCAGCACCCACCTTCGAAGGCAGGCCACCTCAATGGTTGTCCACAAGTGTGGGCCAGGTCAGTTCACACGGTGGCAGCCAGCAGCGGTCTCCCTGGTCATCGTGAACTACGATGGTGACCCCGCTGGTTGACCCTGGAAGAGTCACGTTGGCTACCGTGGCCAGCGGTGAGGCCCACAGTGTCTGCCATAGCCAGTGCGGCGGACAGAGGACTAGCCAAGGCGCTCACTTGGGTGCCATGACCCATTTGTGAGGTGACAGCCATTTCTGTCACTGCCGTTGATCATGGTGACAGCCCTGCTTTCCACGACCCACCAGTGGTGTCCACCTGTGGCCCAGTGAACTGGGCACGGCCGCTACTTTTCATGGTGGCCACCACACTGGTCACAGACTAGCAATGGTAGCTAACTCTGGCGCTTCTGGGCACTTAAGGGTGGCTTCTTGGTGGCTGTCATGGAAGTAGGTATGGAAGCCCTCCTAGTCAGGTGGAGGCCCCGCTTAGATGTTGCTACCTAGTCCTGTCAGTCCTACAGCCCATTCATGGTGGATGTTTCTGTGGCTACTTGGTAGGATGTCCACTGACATCTGGTCTACCCTGCTCCCCATTGCTGCTTCCACTCACCTCCCTGCCTGAAGCCTCTTTCTTCTGCTCCCACCGGGGCTCGGCTTCTGGCTGGTGGAAGTGGTGGCGGTCCTCACGTCTCTCTCCACCCGCCTCGACGCCCTGCCACAGGCTGCGACCCCCGCCCAGCACCTGCACTCCCTTCTCCTCTGCCTCGAACTGGGCTGTCTCGTCATCGCTGGCCTGCTCTGCCACCCGCTTCTGGGGGCCCCTGCTGCCCTCCAGATGCTGCTTCCACAGGCCCTCCCAGGTCTCCACGGGCCCCCTCTTCTTTTCTTCCTCTTCCTCCTCTTCGTGGTCCTGGTGGAGCCGGCGGTGGAGCTGCTCACGGACTGCCTGTTCCTGCACCTCGGACTTGTGGGTCCTTTCCGCCGCCTCCTCCTCTTCCTCATCCCTCACCTCCTGGCTGGACCGCATCTTCCCAGCCTCTGGCTTTTTAAAATCCCCAACCAGTAGGCCGTTCTCTTCAGTAGGAGGACAGCCAGTGGGAGGACAGCGACAGCCAGAGGACTCTGTTTCACACATTTCTGATGGGAAGAGGGGATGTTCTCTGTGCAGCTAATCAGGAGACAGACCTAGAGGAGTTCTGGGGTCGGGGTGGGGTGCCCAAGCTCCCCCAGGTGACAGCCCAGACCTGGGAGAGGAGGGTTAGTACCGGGAGACACTCTGCCCCCATCCTGTACCCTTGCAGGGAGCCCCAAGAGTGGGGCTGTGGGCCAGGCTCCTTCAGTCTGGACACAATGGTGCTGTGCCAGTCCAGACAGTGGCTCTGGGATGAGAAGAGGATGCCACTGCCTCCAGGCAGCCCTGGGCAGACCCCTGGTGGGGCGGGGGCTCCTACGAGGACTGGGGCCTGAGCCCCCCTTACCTCTGTGGAGGAGAGCCAGGCAGGGGCCTTGCCTGGCCTGGCCCAGCATCAGCACATCTGTGACCACCTCTGCCAGACAGCGCGTCAGCTGGGGGTGAAGGGTGAAGGGTGAGGGGAGGTTGAGGGCAGGGCAGATGGGGGGAATGAGAGCATAGGAGGATTGGAAGGGAGACGGAGATGGTGGAGGGGGCTGGGGTCCCAGGGAGATGAGGTGGGGTGAAAGGGCCACAGTCCTTACCTCCTCCTTGGAGGGTCTGGGCGCCAGGGGAGCCGCGGTGGCTGTGGGGGAAGGAGGTGGGTGCGGGGCTCAGACCCCGGGCGCTGTCCCTGGTGCTGATTCCAGCTCTGCGGTCACCCCGGTACCCACAAGCCCACTCCCCCAGCCCACCTGCCAGGTGCGCTGGCTCTGCTTGGAAGCTCAGCCCAGGAAAGCTCTAGTCTGGCCCCACTGGGTGCACTGTCCCCATCCCCGGTCACTTGAACCCCTGCTCCCCCGGCTGGCTGCTGAGGTTGCCCTGATCTCTGGAACTCACCAGCCCCCAACAGCAGCAGCAGCAGAGCAGGCAGCACCAGCAAAAGCAGCAAGGTGGACCCTCGGCGCGGCATGGTGGGGCGTCCAGACCAAGGTCCTCGGTGCTGTGCGGCCCGGGGGCAGCTCCTTATAACCCGCGCCCGCCCTCCCCGGGGCAAGGGAGGAACTCTGGCCCCCACAGAGGAGGAGGTGACGTCACCGCCTCCCCCTCCCCGCCCGAGGCAGGGCAACAGCTGTGGGGCGGAGAGAGACCTGTCTGAGACCCTCAATTATTCATGGGGGCCCACTGCCCTGCACCCTCCTCTCCAGCTTCCGGCCCCCGAATGCCTGCTTGGAGGGTGGGGGCTTCTCTTCCTAGATAAACAGGGTCTGACTGGGGCTTCCCTGGTGGTCCAGACAGTAAAGAATCTGCCTGCAATGCAGGAGACCCGGGTTCAATCCCTGGGTCAGAAGATCCCCTGGAGAAGGGAATGGCTACTTACTTCAGTATTCTTGCCTGGAGAATCCCATGGACAGAGACAGGCTATAGTCCATGGGGTCGCAAAGAAGTGGACATGACTGAGGTGACTTAGCATGATAGCATGATGAGCTTAAGGTCCTGCTGGGAGGTGGGACCTGCTCTGAATCCAGAGGCAACGACTTACAGACCTCAGGCAACACCTTGCCTTCCCTGGCCCGTATTCTTCTCTGGAAAACAGGTCTCATAAATCTACTTCCTTGGAGTTGTAACTGGACCTCACCTGAGTCCCAGCTCCTCCGCTACCAGCAGTGCAGCCCTGGGACAACTGCTTGGATGCAAGACCTGTTACTTGTGAAACGGGGCTGGTGACAACCTATTCCACAGCTTGATGGGAAAGATTAAATAAAGTAAGGCACATACATATTAGCTTCGGTGATGCCTGGCATGGAGAACTACAGAGGCCTGAGCTCTTTCATCCCAGTAATTTTTATTGGACACACAATGTTATGTCCAGCCCTCTTCTAGACCCTGGGGCTACAACAGAGAATGAGGCTACAGGCAATCTCCCTGGCCTCTTGGAGTGGACATTTGAGAAAGAGAAGACGGACAACACTCAAGGAAGGAGGAGGGACTGCCCTAGTGGTCCAGTGGTTAAGAATCCGCCTTGCAATGCAGGGGACGCAGGTTCGATCCCTGGTCGGAGAACTAAGGTCCCACATGCCCTGGGGCCAACCAAGCCTTCGAGGCAACTTCTGAAGCCCACCTGTGCCACAGTTAGGGAAACTGCGCACAATGAAAGATCCTGCATGCTGAAAGTAAGATTAATGCTGCAACTAAGACCAGAGGCTGCCAAATTAAAAAAAAAAAAATCTGCCTTCTAATGTTCCAATGCAAGGGACATGGATTTGATTACTGATCAGGGAACTAAGATCCCACATGCTATGAGGCACCTGAGCCTTTGTGCTCTGGAGCCTGCTTACCACACCTAGGGAGAAGCCTCCACACTGCAACCAAGACCCAACACAGTTAAAAAATATTTAAAAAAAAAAAAAAAAGGCAAGGAGGAAACGGCTGTGGTGCGTCACTGGAGCACGGCAGCTAGAGGCTGGGGTTTTACTTTGGCCAGGCTGGTCAGGGGAGCCCTCTCTGAGGAGGTGACATTTGGGCTAAGGCCTGAGGGATAAAATGCAGGCAACTGCACAAGGTTTAGGGGAAGAATAGCTAGGATAGGGAAGAGTCGAGCAAGTGCAGAGGCCTGCGTTGGGACTGAGTCTGAGAGAACAGGCAGGTAGGTTGGGGGCTGGCCAGAGCACAACAGGAAAGGCTGGAAGAAGGGGAAGGTAGAGGGCAGCTCTCATGGGTCCCGGGGACCACAGTGACTTGTCTTTCCCCCCCAGGGAGATGGAGCCACAGGAGGGCTCTGAGACCTGACGCAGCTGCCCACAGGGTCCCTCTGGCTTTTCGTGGGGGAACAGGAAGCAAAAAAGAGGCTGCTACGATTCTCCAAATGGGAGATAAGGATGGACAGGACGGGACGAGACAGCAAAGGCAGGATCTGGGGATATTTTTTTTTTTTAAAGATTTATTTTTGGCTGCTCTGGGTCTTCGTTGCTGCGTACAGGCTTTCTCTGGTTGCAGAGAGTGCAGGTTCTAGGCGCGCAGGCTCACTGGTTGCCGTCCTTGGGCTCCAGAGCTCGGGCTCAGTAGTTGTGGAGTACAGCTTTAGTTGCTCCGTGGCATGTGGGATCTTCCCGGACCAGGGATCGAACTCATGTCCTCTGCATTGGCAAGTGGATTCTTAACCACTGGGCAACCAGAGACCCCCCCGGAAATATTTTGAAGGAGGAGCTGCCAGGGTTTGCTGAAGGATGGGATGTGGATGTGAGAACAGTCGAGGATGACTTGAAGTGCTGCAGTTGGAGGAGCTGCGAGAGCAGTTCCAGGTACGGAGATGGGGGCTCCGAGGGGAGGAGCGGGTTCTCGCTTCACTGAGTTCAGGCTGCTTCCCGCCCCGCCTGGGGCTGGGGGCCAAGGCGGAAGGTTGGGTGTGAGGTGCCACTTATCCCAGGGTCAGGGGAGAGGCCTCAGCATCCTCTTGGGTTCCCTCAGTGACCCCCAAGCTACCCTCTATGTGCTCCGGGGGTGCTGGACACTTCTGGCATGGTCCCTGCAGCCACAGACCCCTGGATGGTTCAGCACCTCTGAGCAACTGGCCAGCATCCGTGGCAAGTCGGCCAGCCACCTCCCTCACTCACAGACCCACACAGGCCTTTGTTCTGACCATTTATTAGGGAACCTTCTCTTAACCACTGAGGGTGGGAAGAGGGAAGGAGGCATGGAGGCCTCTTCTCCCTCTCCCCCACCCTCCCCCAGACCTCTAAGTCCTCTTGGAGCAACCACTGCTTCCCACTGCAGGCTGGGACCCCCAATGACAACAGGGTCTCTCAGTGATCCCCAGGAAGAAGAGGCATAGGAGAGGTGGACCCTGCAGTCCAGAGGCCCAGGTGGGGAGTGGACATGAAAAATGTGGATGTCGGGACAGACTCAGGACACCAGGTCCCAGGGGCCCAGGGGCCCCTAAGCTCCAGGAAGTGGTGACAACCCTACTGGCCAATGAGGATGAGTCCTCAGCTCGAGGCAGGCTGGCCCGGGAGCCTGGGCTTCTGGGGCTGGTTGGGGCCGATGTACTGGAGAGGCACGTGGGTGGGGGTGGTGATCCGATCGGTGCCAAGGTAGGGCTGGAGGGCAGGGGGCACAAGCACCGAGCCATCCTGGGGAGAGAGCAGGCCTCAGGCGAATGCCCGGCCGGCCTTCCAAACTCCGGCCTCGGCCTCCCACCGTGGGATCCTCCCGCCGCCCCCGCCCCTCACCTTCTGCTGATAGCTCTCCAGGAGGGCGATGAGGAGACGAGGGACAGCGCAGGCCGTGGCGTTCACCTGAGAGGAGGGGACGCTCAGATCCAGGCTCCAGCGGGCCCAGGGGAGGGGCTACGGTGGTGGGTCTCCGGCGTGGGGGTGAAGGTCAGGGCGGGCGAGGATGTGGGCTCACCGTGTGTGCGAACTGCAGCTCCCCCGCCTCGGTCTGGAACATGATGTGAAGACGGCGGCTCTGGAAGTCCGTGCAGTTGGAAGCACTGGTGACCTGGGCATGGGGGCAGGGTGGGCTGAGACGATGGGCTGTGGGGGGCAGTGGAGGGGGGGGTCCTCTTTCCCACCCTGAGGGCCCCGCCAGGCAGGGTGCTCACCTCGCCGAAGCGGCCTCGGCCTGGCATCCAGGCCTCGATGTCGAACTTGCGGTAGGCCGGCAGGCCCAGCTCCTGCGTGGGCATGTCCAGGACCCTGCAGCCCCGGAGAAAGACAGGGCGAAGCGCAGCGGTGAGAGGTGTGTGAGGGGGCGGGGGGCACAGTGGGAGGTGATGGAAGGGGAGGAAGCCCCCAAAGAGGGAAACGGAAGTGATAAAGATATAACGGTAGCAAAGGGAACAAGATGGCCAAGTCACCTTGTGGGTGACAGCACAGATGAGCTGTCTGTGCACCACGGCTATTCTTCCTTCTGTAGTAACAGCACCCCCAGATTGCTGTCATGGGTCACCCAGGAAGAAGGCCACACTCCTCAGCCTCTCCTGAAAACTACGGGTGACTGACAGGGGCAGAGGCGGTGGGGCTCGCGACCTCCTGTCACCCCTTAGAGGGAAGGGGTGTGCCCTCTCCCCAACCTCCCCTTCCCACTGGATGGTAAAAGGCCGTCTTGGGGATTCCCTGGTGGCTCAGTGGTTAAGAATCCACCTGCCAATGCAGGGGACATGGGTTTGATCCCTGATCCGGGAAGATCCCACATGCACATGCGCCACAACTACTGAGCCTGCGCGCTGGAGCCCGGGAGCCGCAACTACTGAGCCTGCGCGCTGGAGCCCGGGAGCCGCAACTACTGAACCCACGTGTCACAGCCATGGAAGCCTGAGCACTCTAGAGCCCACGCTCTACGAGAGAAGCCACTGCAATGAGAAGCCTGCACATGGCAACTAGAGAGTAGCCCCCGCTCGCTGCAACTGGAGAAAGCCCGCACAGCAATGAAGACCCAGCACAGCCAATAATAATAAGTAAATAAAACAGTATTTTAAAAAGCCATCTTGGACTAGGCAGATGAGACAGCACGCTAGGGACGGGGAGTCACAGGAGGTAAGGGACCTGCTCTTGACACTGAATCATACACAGGCTCTTATGGGTTGATAGATAGACATCCTATATACAATCCTAACATGGGCAAAAGGGGGCAGGGGGAGAAGAGGTGGTGAGGGTTTTCGAGATGGGGGAGCCCCCAGCCAGCCTTTCCCTCCTCCCCCACCCCTCACCCTCTGTCCCCGACCCCAGACCCCACCATCCACCTCAGCCCCTGGCCCCTCCCGCACCGGAAATGCAAGCCCAGCTCTGTCAAGATCTCCATCTGAAGGGACAGGAACTCCTCCAGCAGCTCTGAGCTCTGCTCCAGCCCGGGGCCTGTCACCCCAAACATCTCCACCTGGGGCAGGGCGAGGGGCACAGGAGTCAGGAGGCACTAGGCTGTTGGGGTGTCCCCCCCACAGTCCTAGCTATGCCAACCTTGGTGAAGTGGTGTACTCGATACAGCCCCCAGGGCTCCTTCCCCGTGTCTGTTTCCGCCCGGTAGCAGGTACTGGAACAAACCATCCTGGGGGGGTGGGGTGGGTAGGTGGGGTCAGGGAGAGGGCGGGGGATGTCACAGGTGAGGACAAGGCCTAAAGGAACAGGCATCACCTGATTGGCAGGTCCCTGAAGGCCACGGAGTGGTCCATGAAGTAGCCTGGGAGGAGAAGGGGACAGAAGGGGTCAGCCAGGGCCACCATCCATCCATTCACAGGAAACCTTTGTGGGAATCAGAAAAGGTGTCCCTTCTGGCAGACACAACCTCATGTCAGGACACATGGCTGGATCCTCACCACTCTATTGTGCAGTAAACACCTACACAACTGTACACGCAGACCCTGGGCATGCAGCCGTCACCCCCCAGGATGCTCCCAGCTGTCGCCTTTCGATCCCTCCTGCTCTGAGGACCCCTGGGCTGCTCTCACTCTGCTCTGGCCCCCAGGTACGCTCTCACCTGCAAGTCCTACCTCTGCCGTCCCGGCCAGGTTGAGGTCTTCAAAGCGGGAGGGGTCGATGTTGTAAATTTGGGATGGTTTGGCATTTGGTGTCATCCCACAGCCTTCCTGGGGAGGAGACCAGAGGACAGGTAACCTCGGTGGCCCCTGTTCTGTCGTCACGTCCCCTGCTCCTCCCCTGGAAGGAAGGGGATCACCCTGCATGCGTGTGCAAGCTCAGTCACTCAGTCGTGTCTGACTCCTTGTGACCCCATAGACTGCAGCTGCCAGTCTCCTCTGTCCACGGAATTTTCCAGGCAAGAATACTGAAGTGGATTGCCATTTCCTCCTCCAGGGGATTATCCTGACCCAGGGATCAAGCCCACAGCTCCTGCATCGGCAGGCAGATTCTTTACCACTCAGCCACCTGGGAAGCCCCAGATTCACGCTGAGTTCCCTGTTACAATGTGACCCCCTCAACCCAGCCCCAGGGCAGTTTCTTTGGGGGAGACAGGCTGGTCTTGCTGCCTGGGGCCCCCATAACAGGGCCTGACACATGGCTGGGCATGGGGAATGGAGGTCCTCACTCACAAACACGACTCCTCGGAGAAGGTCTGGCACCGTCATGGGGGTGAAGCCCTAGGAAAGGGAGGGAAGGGGTGAGGAGCAGAGCCAGGACCCCACCAGACCCCAAGCTTGGGCCTGAAGAAAGGACACTGCCAAGGGGACCAACAGCTCCCCCATGTCACCCGAAGTCCATTCCACTGGAAAGGACACTGAGGTAGGCCCGAGCAGGGGGCATGGGGCTGGCCCTGGGGTGCTGGGGCCCTGTCACTGGGGCCTCCTGGTGTCCCCACTCAGGCATACCATACAGGGCAGAGGAGGTGTAGTTCCACATATAGATCTGACTGTGCCCCCCCAAGTGAACACCCTCTGTGACTCCCAGTGCCCTCAGGATATGTCCAAATCCCTCACTGTGACCAGCGTCCCATTGGTCACTGCACGACCAGCCCTCAGCCCTTGTCGGCCCCCCCAGTTTCAACAGACACTGTTCTTTCCCCAGCACTCGCTGTCCACTGCAGGCAGGCAGTGAGGGCCAGTGGTGACAGGTGCAGGCTCTCGGGCCAGCCCCACACATGAGCCAGAGATCGTGGACAGTTCCTCCTTCTCCAGGCATCAATTTCTCCATCTCTAAAGGGGACAGTAATAGCACTCTCCTAACACTGCCCTAAGAATGAACTGTGCCAATAATATACATAAAGCTCTGAAAACAGTGACTGGAGCAGAGGTCACCCCCTCCTCTCCATGTTGAGCCTTTGGAGCTCAGCTCCCATGCCACCGCCTCCAGGCAGCCCTCCCATCCTGGCCCATACCCGGTGGATGAGCTTGTTGAGTGTGAAGTTGACCAGGCCGTGCTGCAGGAGGGCCCCAGCCCCGCGCAGGTAGTAGGAGCGGTGGCCAGACACGTGGGACAGGCGCCTGGGAGACAGACGGGCGACAGGTGGGGCCTGTGGGCCAGGGCTGGTGGGGGAAGGGGGACTCAAGCACCCCAGGGCAGAGGCCCAGCTGCCAGGCGGGAGGCCGGTCATCAAATATTCATGCCGGGCGAGGCCCTGGTGGTTCCACATCCCGTGCTGAGCCCAATGCAGTGGAGCCGGCAGTCAGCTGCTGGGGTGGGGGGTTGCTGAATGGCAGGGTCTGGGAGGGGGGGCTCACTTCTGTCGGATGATGTCGAGTTTCTCAGCTATTTCTAGGTGGCCCCGGGCTTGGAAGGAGAAAGCTGTATGTGGATTAAAAGCAATGGGGTAAGAGGAGAAGAGACAGGAAACAGGGGATAGAGAGAAACAGGATTAGCGAGACAGTGGGGGGAGAGGGAGGGAGGACAGGTTAAGACAGAGGGAGGGAGAGAAAAGAAGAGGGGAAGAGAAAGAGCCAGATACACACACACACACATGCACACACAGACACATACACACACACGCGAAACGGTGAGAGAAAGCCCAGGGCTCTACAGGCTCCAGCCACAGTCCCAGACCCCAGGAGCCCCCGCCCCGAGCCTGGGGTCCCCCAGCCTGGGCTGTGGCCTACCTGGCTTGTCTCCAACCACATGGAGCACGCGGGCCTGGCTTTCGTCCCCGACAGGCTGCAGGAAACAGTGGGTGTCAAAGGGAAGGTGGCACTGGGCAGGGCCCTGGCCGCCCCTGCTGCCCGTGAGTGCTCACCACGTCTGGGTGGGTCTGGTTGGGCAGCCTTAGTGCCCGCAGGTAGAACTGCTCTTCGAGCTGGGCCTCCTTGGGGTAGAGGAGTGTGAGCTGCTTCCGGATCTCCCGGCCACGTGCCCGCAGACTCTGATATTGGGGGTCCTGGGAGCAAGACACTTGGGGTCAGCCCAGGAGAGGGTGGGGTCCTGGCTAGGATAACCTCTGTGGTGGACTTTGTTGCTTCTTCTTTGGGCTCAACATCCTCAATTTCCTTTCAGGAACCTCCCCTCAGCACCTCGTGGCATGTCCATAAGGACATGACTCTAGCTTGGCCTACTCGAACATTCCATCGCTTGGCCAGAGTGATCGGCTTAAAGACAGGCACATGACCCAAGACAAACTCATGACAATCAGCCCCAGGGCTTTGTCTGGAGCTATCAAGAAAATGGTCCTCTTTGCAAGACCTTGTTTTCCCTTCCCCCCAGGGGAGAAAGCCGAACCAAATATGGAGGAGCAGGAGCTGGATCCAGCTGTACCTGAAGCCAGTGTTTTTAGCTTTATGAATCACCAGAGCCTGTTGCTATTTTTCTTACTCCTACTTGAGTTATGTTTTCCATCACATACAATGGAGACTTGATGAGCGATAACGGCTATGTGTGCTGCCCACCCGTGCACAGGGACAGGATATCAACTCCCTGTAGTACCTGCTGCACTTGACTGTTGTCCCGGCTTACCTGGCAGAGAAGAGATGAGGAGGTGATTAGAGTGATGACGCTGGGGATGAGGGGGCGGGGAAACAGAGGTGAAAGTTCAGGGCTAGGGGATCTGAATGCCTTGCTCTGCCAACGCCTGGCTGGACCCTCCTCCACTCTGTACCTCAGTTTCTCTATCAGTAAAACTGGGAGGAGGCAAGATAACATAATAGCGATCACACCCTGTAGCTCAGTTTAGTGCGGCCTCATGTCTAGTCATGTGCAGATGACTCTCAGATGAGCCTTTTTCTTCATAACCCCCACTATGAGGGTCTTATCAATGTGATGCCCATTTTGTTGATGAGAAAACTGAGACTCGGAATGGTGAAGTTTGTGAGCATGCATATGGAGGCCTGACAGCAATGGTCTTTGATACTCTGAAACTCCTGTGGTCCTGAGCACCAGGGAATGCAGCAGAACTGGGTCTGAATGTTGGGTGCTAACTAGAGTGTGCTGTTGGGCAAATCTCTTCCCCTCTCCAAGCTCTGGTATCCTGGTCTGTGAAATAGGCTGAGAGCAGGAGCTCCCCAGTCAGGCTGTTGCATGGTGTACCCAGGATGATGAGCTAGGGACTTCCCTGGTGGTCCAGTAGTTAAGAAGCAGCCCCAGGGATGCCTGGCCCTGGACAGTTGTGGTGTGAGACGATGAATGTCCATATCCTTCAAACTCCTGAAATTGGGTTTCCTGTTACCTGTAGCCAGAGGTATCCTGCTGCCAGCCCCGCACCTGCCCAGGACCCCCGCACTCACCACCAGGGCCCGCACTGCCTCAGTCACAGCCCCCTTCTCCTCCTCTAGGCTCCGGATCTGTTCCCGCAGCTGCCTCAGCTCCTGCCATGTCGAGATCTGGGATAAAATATACATAGAATTTACCACGTTAACTGTTTTTTAAGTGTATATTTCAGTGGCATTAAATACGTTTATATTGTGCTATCATCACAACTACCCATCTCTGGAACTACTGAACCTTCCCAAACTGAAACTCTGTACCCATTAGACATTCCTCCCTCCCCCTGCCCCTGGCAACTACCATTCTACATTCTGTCTCTGTGGATTTGACTGAGACAAATCCAGAAGCCTCACAGAACTGGAATCACACAGTGTTTGCCCTTTTGCGAATGGCTTACTTCACCTAGCATAAGGTCTTTAAGGTAAATCCATTTGGAGTATGGGCTTCCCAGGTGGCTCAGTGCTAAAGAATCCACCTGCCAATGAAGGAAACACAGGAGACAGGGTCAGGAAGATCCCCTGGAGGAGGAAATGGCAACCCCCTCTAGTGTTCTTGCTGGAAAATCTCATGGACGGAGGAAGCTGGCAGGCTACAGTCCATGGAGTTGCAAAGAGACAGACATGATTGATCAACTGAGCACTCACACTGTAGCATGTGTCAGAATTTCCTTGCTTTTTAAGGCTGAATATTATTCCATTGCAAGTATTTACCACATTTTCTTTTACAAGATTCTTTTTGATGTGGACCATTTTTAAAGTCTTTATTGTATTGGTTACAGTATTGCTTCTGTTTCACATTTTGGTTTTTTGGCCTCAGTGCTTGGGGGTCTTAGCTTCCTGGCCAGGGATTGAACCTGCATCCCCTGCTTTGGAACATGAAGTCTTAACCACTGGATTACCAGGGAAGTCCCTACCACATTTTCTTTATCCATTCATTGATCAGTGGACACTTGGGTTGCTTCCACCTTTTGGCCACTGTGAATAATGCTGCTATAAACATGGACATTCAGGTATCTGTTTGAGTCCCTGCTTTTCTTTTCTTTTTTTATTGCCGGGGGAGGGGGGAGGGCAGGTAATATACTCAGAAGTGGGATTTCTGGATTACATGGTAATTCTAATTTTTTTAGGAACTGCCATATGTTTATTTCTTTTTAAATTAACTTCTCTGAGCCTTAGTTTCCCCTCTGGAAAAATTGTGGAAACAATGGCACCCATCTCATAGGGGTGCTGTGGAACTTAAAGGAGACTCATCTGTATAAAGCACTTATACTAGATTGGATGTATGGGGGGGTTCAAGAGAGGGCTGGGAGGATTTGGGGTCCCTATCACCTTCAGCACTTCAGCAGGGTCTAGAAATATGGTAATTCCAGTTCTAGTTCACCAGCATGTAGTATTATGTAAGTGCTGGCTTTATCATTAGTAGTAGTAGTATGAATGTGTGTGTGTTAGCGCTTAGTTGTGTACAACTCTTTGCGATGCTATGGACTGTAGCCCGCCAGGCTCTTCCGTCCATGGAATTCTCCAGGCAAGAACACTGAAGTGGGTAGCCCTGCCTTTCTCCAGGGAATCTTCCCGACCTAGGGATCGAACCTGGGTCTCCTGCATTACAGGCAGATTCTTTACCATCTGAACTACCAGGGAAGCCCAGTAGTATGAATATTAATATTCATAATAAATGCCTTATTCTCAACACCAGGTACAGAACATACACACACCCTAAATATGTTAAAAAACACATTCGTTCATAAAATAACACCACTTAACTGCCTGATACCTGTGGGGTAAGTGCATAACTCTTCCTCTCACTCCCCAAAGGCAAGAGTCTCCCCTTACCCACTGATTCATATCCCTGTTCCCCGTTTTCCTTTGTGGCTTTACCATAAGCCTGGCAAGAGGTCTGAGCACAGAGGAAAGAGGAAGACAGTAAGTTCCTAGGGCAGCGTGGGTACCCAGCATGCTTTATGGGCTAGGAGCATCATGGCTATATGGACAGTAGGACCTTAGCACTCCGTGGTATCTGACACGTACTTAGGTGCCAGACACGACACATTGGCTAAACTGGGAAGGAATTAAAATTCTTGCGATCAGAACGCCCCCTGCTGGATAGTATCTTGTAAGCCCATTTCGTTCGTAAAGCGAACAGCCAATAGGCAAAGCGGACCGGCCCCGGGTGGTTGGACCGCGCAAACGCACTCACGATGCCGGGCAGATCCTTCGACCGCAACTCCCCCTTGCGGAGCTCCAGGGCGCGCGCGGCATCTTCCGGGTATGTGCACAGTGGTTCCATATCCAGCTGAGGGAGCGCGCTGTAGCCTTCACGCGCGTGTTCGTACAGGAGGTTCCGATCCCGTCTCTCCGTAGCGAAACTTCTCTTGAAGCTCTGGTTACAGACACAGCCTCCTCGAAGCTGCAGGCCCCGACCAGCCACTAGAGGCCCCAAGCGCCGCACTATGGACGCAGCCATCTTGGAAGGCGGACAAGTAGTCACGCACCCTTCGTCCCGCCCACTGCGCACTTAGACCAATTACAAAGCTGCTGTTCTGCTCGAGACTAGCCAATCAGACCCTGGAAGGGGTGAACCCCTTCCATGCCTCAAAAAAACACAGTTCAATGAGAACAGTTGCCCGAGATTGACACTATCATTGTCCAATCGTCCTCTGCTCCCCGCAGTTTCAGTGTGCACGAGAGGCAGAGCCAGCCAATCACTGCCAGGGTAATCCCCAGATCGCGCTGGAGCGGTTTCTGCGTGTCGGCGGATCGGGCTAGGGTCGGTAAGGTCTACAGAGCTCGGGTTCTCCAAACTTCCGGGGTCTCACCTCAGGTTCCCGTTTTCTTCTGTATGTGAGCAGGGACAGTTGGCTCCCCGAGAGCCTATTCAGTGCAAGCCTAAACTTACATAGGGACTTTCTGTTAGCAGCGTTAGGGGTTGCGGTTATATGGTAGAGGAAATTGTTGAGATTTAACCGGAAGGCTAAATAGGGAGGGTTGGGGAGAATTTGGGCTTCCATTGTGGCTCAGCTGGTAAAGAATCCGCCTGCAGTGTGGAACACCTAGGTTCTGTCCTTAGGTTGGGAATATCCCCTGGAGAAGGGAAAGGCTGCCTACTCCAGTATTCTGGCTTGGAGAATTCCATGGACTGTATAGTCCATGGGGTCACAAAGAGTCGGACACTGAGTGACTTTCACTTCACCAAATAGAACTGGGGAGAATTTGGACCCTACCCCAACGAAGGCCACTTTCTCTTATCCCCTAATACAGTGACTCTGCAGGCGGTGGGATGTCTTGGTCCGGCCTTCTCCGTGGCCTTAGCACGTCCCTAAATTATGGTAAGTGGGGGGCTTGGGCCGCCCCTGGGTGGGAATTTGGCTCTTCACCTGACTGAGATGGAGGCTCTGAGCAGGGGAGGAATGTGATCTGACCCAGGTGTCCACAGGATAACTTTGCCTGCGTGTGGGGAGCAGACAGTAGAAACAGGGAGACCTGGGAGGAGGGGGAGGACAGGAGAGTCCAGTGGGAATCAAGGGTAGACAGGGCCACGGTGGATGCTGTGGGGGAGGAAGGGGATTCCGATCAGTTGTGAAGGTTCAGTTGCTCATGGCTACGGGAGTGGGGTGACAGGAGGAGGAGTGACACGCCCAGAGACCCCCCCCTCCCATAGGGTTGCTGTGGGGCGGTGTGTGTTACTGTAGATACGATGCATAGAACAATACAGAACACAGTGTGAACCTGTGAGTTAACTCTTAAGAAATGCTTAAAAAAACCTGACACATGGTGATTGCTCCATAAATGTATTATTACTCTCAGCCATGAGTACCTCCATCCATAAACAAATAGAGCCCCGCGAAGTGCTTGGAACGGCTCCTCGAACAAAAGAGCGAGTGGCTGATGCTATTACCTGTTCGCTGGGATAATAATCCCTCTTCCGCCCTCCTGGTTGTCTCTCCAGGCCTAGCTCTGGTCCCCCGGCCTTGGACCACGCGTCCCATGGCCACCCTGAACCAGCTACACCGTCGGGGCCCCCCGAAGTTTCCGCCTCCGAAACCAGGCCCGACGGAGGGCCGGCCACAGCTGAAGGGCGTGGTCCTGCGCACCTTTATCCGCAAGCCCAAGAAGCCCAACTCAGCCAACCGAAAGTGTTGCCGCGTGAGGCTCAGCACCGGCCGGGAGGCCGTTTGCTTCATCCCTGGAGAGGGCCACAGCCTGCAGGAGCACCACGTGGTCCTCGTACAGGGCGGCCGCACGCAGGACCTGCCGGGTGTCAAGCTCAAGGTCGTGCGCGGGAAGTACGACTGTGGCCATGTGCAGAAGAAGAAGTAACTGTGGGGGACCCGGTGGGCGGGTGATCACGCAGAACTCTTTCCTTCCGTGCACCTGCAGTGCCCTCAGGAAGCAAGTCCAGCTCTAGAAGTAATTGGTCTGTGTTCAAAGCCCAGTCTAGTGGACCCTTGATCCTTGGGGTCCTGGGCACCCCTCTCCCAACACCCTTGGCTTCCATGCTGGCATCAGCAACTGCTTCTGCTGGGACAAGACTCTGTCCTGCCATCTACTGGAGGGGTTGCAATAAAGACCCCAGCCCTCAAGGTTGTGACCTGAACCCTCTTACGTGGTATTCACCCTCCTTGCGGTCTTCGCAACTGGACATCCCCTCTGGCCTCAGTTTCCTTCACCAGAAAAAAATAGCTCCGCTGGCAGTATCCCCTCTGTTGGATTTGGTGAAGATTAAACCAGATGCTTTATGTGTATAATAGCACATGCAGTGACTGCTCTGTTACAAGCTTTGGAGTCAGGTGGGCAGCGCTGAGGTTCAGTTCCCCTTCCTTCAGGCCAAGAGCCTGGACATGAAAGCCCTCCTGTCAAGCTTCCTCATCTGAAAAGTAGCAGTAATTGTAATGTTGGTGACAAAGGGGTGTTGGTGGGATTGAATGGTGTGCACAGCTCTGCTCAGACACACACACACCTGGATTCAAATCCTGCCTCCACCTCTTCCTTGTTTTGTGACTCTGGGTATATTTGTTCCCCACTCTGGCTCCATTTCCTCCCTTGGAAAACGGCAGCAAGAGTGATGCGGACCTCACCTGATCACCTGATCAGCTGTTGGCTGAGTCCTCGTGGCCCATCTGTGTTCTTGAAGCTCACCCACTTCTTGCATGGCACTTAGCACACCTGAGGTTCTCACTATTGGAAATATCCCACACGGCTTTTTAGGTTCAGAGCTGGGGGCAGACAAGCACATCAATTACAGATAAAATCCCCCATCACCTCACACTCTGCACTAATTTTTTATTAAGCTAGCTTGTCAGCTGCACTCAGCTAGGGAAACAGTGGGAGACACCAGGGGAGCCTTGCTTCCTCAGTCCATCTCCAAGTGGGCTCAAGTGTGGAGAAAAGGAGGCTGTTGCCTTGGCAGAAGGCAGGCTGCCCTGACGCAGGGGCAGGAGGTGGGGGTAGAGGATACATTTTGGGGGTCAGTGCAGACTGGGCCTTAGGAATTCTGAAAGAAATGGCACCTGTATGGCTCAGAGGAGAGGTGCTGTTGGGTGCGGTGCTGGAGGAGCTTGCATGGGCCCCACTCCTGAGTCCCAGAGATTCCCCCAAACAAGAGAATGGGTTCCCTTTGAGGCCCCTGTTGGTCCCCCCGAGGACAATCCCTGCTCCCTGCCAGCAATTGCCTTACCCCCAAAACATGCTGACAAGAGTCCTTGTCCAGGATTGTCAGCAGCATTCCTCTGTTTTTAACCAGGGTTTGGTCTTTTTTTTGACTCAATGGGTTTGATCCCTGGGTTGGGAAGATCCTCTGGAGAAGGGGATGGCAATCCACTCCAGTATTCTTACCTGGAGAATCCCATGGACGTAGAAGCCTGGTGGGCTACAGTCCATGGGGTCACAAAGACTCAGACACGACTGAGCAACTAATACATCAACTGATAGGATTTCCCTGGTGGCTCAGTCACTAAAGAATCCACCTGCAATGCAGGAGATGTGGGTTTGATCCCTGGGTCAGGAAGATCACCTGGAGAAGGAAATGGCAATCCACTCCAGTATTCTTGCCTGGGAAATCCCATGGACAGAGGAGCCTGGTGGGCTACAGAGTTGGACACGACTTGGTGACTAAACCACCATCAACTGATAACCACAGACGTGAGAAAGAAATTTACAAGTATAGTACAGGTCTCTGAGTTACCCTTTGACACTGCCCTGGGGATGCAAGTATCCAGCCTGGTTGGATCCCTGGTTCCTTGGCTGAAGCAGCAGCAAATGGGGTTCACTGGAAGAGTGCCGGGAACAGGCCACACGGGACCTCCCCGCCCCTTTCCCCAGGCATCCTCTGGCTCCTGGCTGCAAAAGCCGCCCTTGATTGATGTTAGTGTCCGGCAGATGACAGTCTGTCTTGGAAGGCCGGGTCAGGCTGGTTAGCTAGGACAGGCGGATCCTGACCCTCACACTGGAGTGGGTCACAAGGGTGCCATAGTGCCCCACCCAGGAACGCGTGTCTCTTCCATACTGCTCAAAAGACACGTAGCGGATACCCTTGCCAAAGTTGGTAAAGACGTGGGAGACCTGCGCGGGGAAGGAGAGGGAGGGAGTGAGACTCCAGGGGCTCCTCTTCCGCCTCCTTGACAGATCGTCACCATCATCTGACCCTGCTCCAGGCGCTGGGGATATAGCAATGAAGAAAGCAGCCCAAAGAGCTCATCCTGGGACTTCCTTCTAGTCCAGTGGTTAAGAATCTGCCTGCCAAGGCAGGGGACACCGGTTCGACCCCAGGTCTGGGAAGATCCCACATGCCCTGGGGCAACTAAGCCCGTGTGCTGCTGCTGCTGAACCCACACAACCTAGAGCCTGTTCTCTGCAGCAAAAGAAGCCACCGCCGTGAGAAGTCTGTGCACTGTAACTGGAGAGTAACCCCCGCTCGCTGCAACTAGAGAAAAGCCTTCGTGAGAAGTCTGTGCACTGTAACTGGAGAGTAACCCCCGCTCGCTGCAACTAAACGCCTTCGTGAGAAGTCTGTGCAGTGTAACTGGAGAGTAACCCCCGCTCACTGCAACTAGAGAAAAGCCTTTGTGCAGCAATGAAGACCCATTGCTGCAAAAAAAAAAAAAATCTGGTGAAGCTGAGAGTCTAGGCTCTGACGCTGAAGACAGAAGGGGGAAAGGGCGGAGGAAATTCTGCAAGTGGGTGCGGTTGTAAAATGAATAAGCAAGGGCTGCACTGAGATGACATTTGAGCAGAGACCTGGTGGAGGTGGGGATCTGGAGGAAGAGTGGTCCAGACGGAGGAACAGTGCAAAAGCCCTGAGGTGGCAGCGTGCCTCGAGCAGAGTGAGAGGAGTAGGAAATTGGGTCAAGGAGGCAGTGGGCAGATTGTGTGGGGCATTTGAGATGGAGCCCAGAAGGACTTTGGCTTCTGGCTTTTAATTTTTTTGGGCCATGCCACTTGGCTTGTGGGATCTTAGTTCCCCCACCTGGGATGGAACTTATGCCTCCTATAGTGGAAGCACAGAGTCTTAACCACAGGGAAGTCCCTTGCTTCTGGCTTTTTATCTTTTGTAATTTTTTAAATTGAGCTGAAATTCAAATTCACCTAACATGTACCATTTAAGACTACAATTCTGTATTTTTTTTGGGCATATTTGTAATGTTATGTAACCATCACCACTATCTAAATCTGGAACATCTCATCACCCCAGGAAAAAACCTCAAATCCATTAGCTGTCATTTCCAATTCCTCCCTCCCTCTGTCCTCTGGCAACCACTAATCTACCTGCTTTTTGTCTCTATGTTGTTCAGTCACTAAGTCATGTCTGACTCTGCAACTCCATGGACTATACAGCATGTCAGGCTTCCCTGTCCTTAACTATCTCCTGGAGTTTGTTGAACTCATGTCCATTGACTTGGTGATGCCATCCAACCCTCTCATCCTTTGTCGCCCCTTTCTTCTCCTGCCCTCAGTCTTTCCCAGCATCAGTCTTTTCCAGGGAGTTGGCTCTTTGCATGTGTCTCTATGGCTTTGCTTATTCTGGAAATTTCCTATAAATGCTATATACAATATGTGGCCTTTGTGTCTGACCTCTTTCATTTAGCACAATGTTTCCATGGCTCACCTATGTTGAAGTGTGAATCTGTACTTCACTCCTTTTCATAACTGCATGATAGGATATTGGCTTTTGTTCTGAGATGTATCCGTGGGATGGTTACAGGCAGGTGAAATCTGCGGTCTGACTCACTTTTTTTTTGGATTTATTTTTTAATAGCTTTCTAGATGCTGAGTCTGTGTGTTGGGTTGGTGTTGGAGGGAGGAGATCAGGAATTGAACCAGAAGACCACCTAAAAGGTTACTTTGATAAGTGAGGTATGATGACCGTGACAGCTTAGGCTCAGGAGCCGTTGTGGCTTTGAATCAAGACCTGCATGCTTTAGTTTGGGTGTTACTTCCACCCCTCAGTTTCCCCAACTGTAGAATGGTGATGGAGCAAGGATTTTGGTTCACCACTGCATTCCAAGCAACTACAGCAGTGCCCAGTATACAGTAGGTGCTCAATAAATGTCTATTGAATAACTAGGCCATTGTGCTAATGAATTAATGGGTAAAACTTTTGGACAGGCCTGTAATAAGGGCTCAATAATTGTTAGCTGTTGTTATTACAGATACAGGTAGTGGTGCTGAGAACTGAGAACCGAATTTGAGCAGGGTGAGAAGTGGGTGTGCCTCTGGACAGGTCAAGGGTGGTGTGGAAGGCGGTCTGGACCCACCTGTCGGCAGCCTCTCTCAGTCCACTGAAGGACCGGGTTGGGTGAGGCCGAGAACTTGACCACTTCATTTTCATACACGTCCAGGAGGCGGACCCGAAGCCGGTAGATGCAGCCGCAGTTCTCCCGAGCACCCCACCTGCCAGGTGGTGGTGAGCCTTCACGTCTCTGCCACCCACTTAGGTCTCTGGCCTCCAGGAACTTTGATGATGCCAGGCCTGGGAACCTAGGGGGAGGAGCCTAGGTGCCCCTGAGGTGGAGCCAGAGCTTGGGGGAGGAGCCTTGGGTGGAGCCAGAATTTGGGGGAGGAGCCTGGATGTTCCTGGGGTGGAGCCAAAGCCTGGGCTCGCCAAAGGTCCGTCCCTCCCTGGCTCTGCTACTTTGAGAGCATAGCTTCCCTTCTTTCAGCCTCACTGTGAAGGGGACACAGTAGCAGTGCCAGCCCGTGGGGGTGACAGGGTGTGAAATGAGCCCCTTCTGTAGAACTGCCACCTCCACTGGGGTGGGGGTGCGGGCAGGTTGCCACTCTTCACTCACCAGTCGGCCACACAGATCTCGATCTGGGCGCTGTCGAGCAACTCCTGCCACACCCCTTCCATCACCAAGTCCACAAGCTGCCTCTTAAAGCACCATCTAGGAAGAGGGGGATAATGCACGGTGGAGGGCCAAGAGTTCCATCATTCAAATCACAGCCCAGAAATCACCTCCTCCTGGAAGCCTCCCCTGACTACCCTGTCTGAAGCAGCCCCTTAGGGCTGCTCTAGCAGACAAGACGTATGATGGGCTGTGGGCATCCCCGTTGGCCTCTCAGATTCCCCTCCATCACTCACTCCGCTGTGGCCGCCAGGAGGCTGGGCCGTATGCAGGCTTGCCCCTTATATGTGTGGGGACCAGAACATGAATGCAAACAGAGGCAGACCATAGTAGACAGCTGAGCGAGGGTTCTGAGGTCTTCTCATGATCCAAGAGGCGCCGCCCCCCGTCTAAGATTGTGTTGCCTGTATGGAAGGGTCTCCCTTCCCCTCTACTTCCTGTTGGGTCAGTCAATGGGAAGCTTTAGCAGGAGATAGAAGGGAGAAGAGAGTGGAATCAGAGTATTTATTCTCCTGGCTCCCTCCCAAGGGATCATAGTGGGACTTTGTGTCTCTCCAAGAAAGGACCCTCTCCACAGTGCTCTCTCCTCCCAGCTTTCTCTGTCATCATGTTTCAATAACTGTTACCTCCCTTACCCTGCCAGGCCTAGGGGTGATAATGTCCCTTCCCCCTAGCCTAGGGTCCTGCAGTATCTCTTGCGTTCTGTCTGTACCTTTGTAAACAGTCCTTCTCCTTGAATTTCAATGTGCCATAATAACAGAAATAGTGATTTATCATGAGAACTGATAAACTGACCAGAACAGAGTGCTCAAGGACAGACCTGGTTATGTATGCTGCTGCTGCTGCTAAGTCGCTTCAGTCGTGTCCGACTCTGTGCAACCCCATAGATGGCAGCCCACTGGGCTCCTCTGTCCTTGGGATTCTCCAGGCAAGAATACTGGAGTGGGTTGCCATTTCCTTCTGCAAGCTATGTATGGGAACTTCAGAAATGATAGAGGTGGTGCTGACATTCCATGGGGAAAGGAAGGATTCTTTAGTACATGGTGTTGGGAAAACTGGCTTAGTATATAGAGGGAAAAACAAAAAACTGGATCCTTACCGAACATCACATTCAAAGGTGGATTAAAGATCTAAATGTAAAAGATAAAACTATGAGGTTACTAGAAAAGAGTAGAAGAGAACACTATTAGGATCTAAGGGGAGGGAAGGATTTTTTTAAACAAAATTAAAAAAACAAATTCTAAAGCAAAAAAGATGAATTTGATCATATGAAAATAACAAAGAATGCCATGGACACACTTAATTCGTATGGTAGAGTGGGAGATTTTATGTAACATCCAGAATGGACAAGGAACTGACATCTAGAATATATGAGGAATTCTTGTATATCAACGAGAATAAGACATCAACCTTAATAAAAATATGAACAGGCAGGGACTTCCCTGATGATCCAGTGGCTAAGGCTCCATGCTCCCAGGGCAGGGGACCTGGGTTCGATCCCTGGTCAGGGAACTCAATCCCACATGCTGCAACTGAGAGTTTGTATGCCGCAACTAAGCCCTGATGCAGCCAACTAAATAAATAAAGTAAGTATTAAAAATAGGAACAGGTAACTGACAAGAGGGAATTCAAAAGCCTAACAATTATTCGTCGAATGACTGAATACATGCATGTGGGAAGGAGAGTGTGAAAGTGGATGAGGGTGAGGATGAGGACCGTAGGGTAGGGTTCCCCCTCCCTCGCCCCAGTGATCAAAGGCCACTCACTCGAACGAAGTCACGAAGCAGGTCTGGGAAGGAGCTCCCGGCATCATTATGAGGTTCTTTTCCACGGCCCAGCCATTCCCGCCGTGCTCCACCTCCCAGCCTCTGAAGCCCTCTGTGGGATATAATAGGGTTAAACACGAGGGATTCGCGCTCCAGCTTGCCCAGGCCACTACCTACTGTGCTCTGTCCACTGGCCCCTCCCTGGCAGCATTTGTGGACACCGCCCCCTGCCCCCGACTCGCCCCTGACCCGCCTCACCCGACCCAGGGTGCTACCTCTGGGATCCTCCAGCCTTGACCCCGCGCATTTACTCAGTTCCCCTTCCCACAGCCTCTCAAAACGGCCTGATGTTTCTATGCAAGCTCCGCCCCCTGTCAGCGCCCAGTCGGTTTCTCCCCAGCCCTCCCCTGGCCCTTCCCTCTTTAACCACCGCCCACTGAGTTGAGGGGACGTCCCCAGTGGTCCAGTGGCAAACACCCTCTTCCAACAACACAAGAGAAGACTCTACACATGGACATCACAACATGGTCAATGCTGAAATCAGACTGATTATATTCTTTGCAGCGGAAGATGAAGAAGCTTTTGACAATCAGCAAAAACAAGACCTGGAGCTGACTGTAACTCAGATCATCAGCTCCTTATTGCAAAATTGAAGAAAGTAGGGAAAACCACTAGACCATGTAGGCACGACCTGAATCAAATCCCTTATGATTATAGCGGAGGTGAATAGATTCAAAGGATTAGATCTGGTAGACAGAGAACTATGGATGGAGGTTTGTAATATTGTACAGGAAGCAGTGACCATAACGATCCCAAACAAAAAGAAATGCAAGAAGGCAAAGTGGTTGTCTGAGCTTAGAGGAGAAGAGAAGCGAAACACACAGGAGAAAGGGAAAGATACTTATTTGAATGCGGAGTATCAAAGAACAGCAAGGTGAGGTAAGAAAGCCTTTTTAAGTGAACAATGCAAAGAAATAGAGGAAAACAATAGAATAGAAAAGACTAGAGATCTCTTCAAGAAATTTGGATACTAAGGGCACATTTCATTCAAGGATGGGATGGAAACCATAAAGACCTAATAGAAGCAAAAGAGATTAAGAGGAGGTGGCAAGAATGCACAGAAGAAATACACAAAAAAGGGTCTTAATGACTGGGACAACCACAATGGTGTGGTCACTCAGAGCCAGAAATCTGGAGTGTGAAGTCAAGTGGCCCTTAGGAAGCATCACTATGAATGAAGCTAGTGGAGGTGATGGAATTCCAGCTGAGCTATTTCAAATCCTAAAAGATGATGCCGTTAAAGTGCTGCACTCATCATGCCAGCAAATTTGGAAAACTCAGCAGTGGCCACAGGACTGGAAAAGGTCAGTTTTCATTCCAATCCCAAGGAAGAGCATTGCCAAAGTTAATGTCCAAACTACCGCACAACTGTCCCACACAATTGTACTGCACAATCCACTCTACTCCCAAGCTATCAAGGTAATGCTCAAAATCCCTCAAGTTAGGCCTCAACAGTATGTGAACCAAAAACTTTCAGATATACAAGCTGGATTTAGAAAAGGCAGAGGAACCAGAGATCAAATTGCCAACATCCAGTGGATCATAGAAAAAGCAAGGGAATTCCAGAAAAACATCTACTTCTGCTTCATTGACTACACTAAAGCCTTTGACTGTGTGGATCACAACAAACAGTGGAAATTATAAAAAGATGGGAATACCAGACCACTTTACCTGCCTCCTTAGAAACGTGTATGCAGGTCAAGAAGCAACAGTTAGAACCAGACATGAAACCAGACTGGTTCAAAACTGGGAAAAGAGTACATCAAGGCTGTATATTGTCACCCTGCTTACTTAACTTCTATACAGAGTACATCATGTGAAATGCTGGGTTGGATGAATCACAAGCTGGAATCAAGATTTCTGGGAGAAATGTCAACAACCTCTGATATGCAGATGATACCACTCTAATGGCAAAAAGCGAAGAGGAACTAAAGAGCCTTTTGATGAGAGTGAAAGAGGAGAGTGAATAAGCTGGCTTAAAACTCAACATTAAAAAAAACTAAGATCATGGCATCCAGTCCCATCACTTCATAGCAAATAAATGGGGGGAAAGTGGAACAGTGGCAGATTTTGTTTTCTTGGGCTCCAAAATCATCACGGATGGTGATTATAGCCGGGAAATTAAAAGATGCTTGCTCCTTGGAAGAAAAGCTATGTGTATTAAAAAGCAGAGACATCACTTTTATGACAAAGGTCCGTATAGTCAAAGCTATGGTTTTTCCAGTAATCACGTATGGATGTGAGAGTTGGACCATAAGAAGGCTGAGAGCTGAAGGTTTCATGTTTTCGAGTTGTGGTGCTGGGGAAGACTCTTGAGAGTCCCTTGGACTGCAAGAAGATCAAACCAGTCAATCCTAAAGGAAATCAACCCTGAATATTCTTTGGAAGGACTGATGCTGAAGCTCCAATACTTTGGCCACCTAATGGGAAGAGCCAACTCACTGGGAAAACCCTGATGCTGGGAAAGCTTGAGGGCAGGAGGAGAAGGGGACGACAGTGGATGAGATGGTTGGATAGCGTCACCGACTCAAGTTTGAGCAAATTCCAGAAAATGGTGAAGGACAGGGAAGCCTGGCGTGCTGCAGTCCACAGGGTCGCAATGAGTTGGACACGACTTAGCGACTGAACAACTGAGTCTACAGTTCCAGCAGAGCATCACCTCTGCTCCGCCCCTTGGCGCCTTCTCCTTTGTCTTGCCAACCAATCTGTACTCCCTCCACTGAAGTTTCAATACTTTGGCCACCTGATGCGAAAAGCCGACTCATTGGAAAAGACCCTGATGCTGGGAAAGGTTGAAGGTAGGAGGAGAAGAGGACGTCGTAAGACGAGATGTTTGGATGGCATCATCGACTCAATGGACGTGAGTTTGAGCAAGCTCCGGAGATGATGGAGGACAGGGAGGCCTGGCGTCCTGCGGTCCATGGAACCGCAAACAGTTGGACAGGAGTGAGCCACTGAACACCACTACCCACGGTCCCTGGCTCCTCCCATTCAGTCTGTCTCTTCCCCAGCTCCTCCCTGGCCTCGCCCACCCAGTTTCTCAAGGACCACGTCCCTTGGCTCCTGGCCCCGCCCGCCCATCCCCGGGGTCTCCTCGGTCCCACCCCTGGCCCCGCCCCTCGGCCCCACCCCCGGCACCCACGCTCTCCGCAGGAGTTGAAGATGAGGTTGCGGCCTAGCGGCGCCCTCAGACAGTAGCGCGCCAGGGCGCAGAGCGGGAACTCCTCCTCATCCTCGCTGTTGGGCGGGCAGCGCTGGGCCACCGCATAGAGGGCGCGGCCCTCCGCGCTGCGGTCGCGGGCCAGCTGCAGCAGCCAGACGGTGGGCCCGTCCACCACGTCGCGCCAGGCGCGGCACACCGGGCGGCAGCGCATCACCAACGCGCGCGGGGGCACGTGGCTCAGCACCTGCACGAGCAGCTCCGGGGGCAGCGCGTCCAAGGCTATGGGCGGCTCCGCGGGCAGCCGTCGCCGCCGCGAGGGCCGGGCGCCCATCTCCGGCCGCCAGAGTCCTGCAGATAGAGAGGAGTCGGCGGGTTAGGGCAGCCTGGCCTCCCTCCAGCTCTCCTTCCAGGACGCAAGTCCTCTGCGGCTTGACCGTGACCTCACTAGGTACACGGGCGACCGGGAGGCTGCCAGCTCCAAGAAACTCGGCATCTAGTTCCTTCCACTTGGCTCCAGACGGCGACTGGTTCCTCCCCATCTTTCCCCCTTGAGCAACAAACCCCTAAGCCTGATCATAACCCCACGAGGGCTGCTAACCACGGCTTCCTGCTCTGGCCGGTGCGCTTGGGTCAGGCTGAGCTCCTTACATATGACCATAGGCTCACTGAAGACCTGTGAGAAAAACCCACCAAGAGGGAAACCATTTCCGCTCCATCCCCCAGGGGTCCCAACTCTCTGGCCTTTGGAATCCGTGACCTATCCTTCAGCAAAATCCATTTCCTCAATCTCTTCTCTGAACATTCTTGTCACCTTCTTGCTCTAACCAGAACCCAGCTGTCCTGTGACCCTTCCAACAGCTTCCTTGGAGCTGTTTTCAGATCATTTTCCCTCCGTCCTCCCCGACACGCCCCAGCTCATCAGGGTTGATCGTTTGTCACCTTGTCAGCATCATCTGGTGACCCAGATGACTGCTCATCACTTCTCCATGATTTTAGCTCTAGGCTCATTGCCACTCAGGTCGCTCTTATCAACATTCTGGGTGATTTCCACATCCAGGTTGATGATCCTTCCTTATACCATCCGGGCCTCTCTTGTTCCCTGACCAGCTGTCCTCCTAGCCCCTCTTTCCTGTGGTTGCACCTACGCTTGTCACAGTAACAATGGCCCCTTCAGAGCCTCCATCTCAGGCTTCTCACTGTCCAGTCATCACCTTCTCTCTTTCCAGCTCTCTCCCTCCAGCGCCCTAGACCCTCCACAGTCCTGCCAACCCACTGTGATCTCCCATCCTTTATCCCTACCTCTTTTTCACTGCCCCCCCCCCCATCAATGCTCAATTCTTCTTTATCCAGCTTAAGTTCCTCGGTTAATCATTGCAAACATTTCTTTGCATACACCCTGCCCTCCTCTGGCTTCCTCCCACGTGTGACCTGGTTAAATCCAAGCCCTCCACTTACCTGTGCCTGTACTCACACAGTTTAAAGCAGCTGAAGAACAACACACAACTCCACTGGCTGGCTCCACTTCAAGCTTGTGAGCTTGATGCTTAAGTGTGCCTGCAGTGCTGTCTGGCAATCAGATTACATTTCTTTTATCCACTAGCTCTTCCTCTCTATAGATAGCTATTTCACACCTTCTCCCCTAACCTCCAACACATTACACTTCCTTCCACCTTTTCACTCTTTGCTTGCTTCTTCTTATTTATTTTTGGCTGCATGGTGCGACATGCAGATTATTAGTTAGTTCCCCCTAACCAGGGATCCAGCCAGTTCCCCCCGAAGGGGTGGAAGCACAGAGTCCTAACTTCTGGACCACCATGAAACTCCCTCCTTTCTTCTTATTTTGTAGGAAAAAAAAAAATCAATAGAAAGTGAATGTCCACAGACCCCCACTGCCCCATAGACCCTCCCTGCCCTCTGCTTTCCCAACACAACTGTGCCCATTCCAGGCCACTGTCTCATAGTTCTCCTCTCTCTCTGTTGCACCTTCAGCTTCCCTCTCTGAACTGGGTCATTCTCATCAGCCCACACAGAGTCATCTCATATGAAAACGAATGAAAATACTCTTGATTCCAGCTCCCTTTCCAGCTATGACCCCATTTCTTTGGTCCTCTTTATAGTAAAACTTCTCCAAAAAGTTGTCACACTCACTGCCTCCATATGGTCTACTGATGTTCTCACCCATACCTTCTCTAATCAGGCTTTGCCCTCCTTAGAGTGATAATTGCTCAGTTGTGTCCAACTCTTTGCGACCTCATGGACTGTAGCCTGCCAGGCTCCTCTGTCCATGGAATTCTCCAGGCAAGAGTACTGGAGTGGGTAGCCATTCCCTTCTCCAGGGGATCTACCTGACCCAGGGATTGAACCTGGGTCTGCAGCATTGCAGGCAGATTCCCTGAGCCACCAGGGAAGCCCCTCCTTCTCCACCCTGAAATGTCAAGGCCACCCACCAGTGACCTCCCTTGGTGCTGAACCAATAGTCACTGTTCACTCAGTCTTCACTTTGCTTGACCTGTTAACAGCACCTGACGCAGGAGTCGCTCTCTCTTCACTCTTCACGTCACTTCTCTGAGCCACCACATCCCTCTGGACCCCTTCCGGCTACCTGGTGGCTCCCAGTCAGTCTCCTTGGCTGTTTCTTCCTCCTTCTTCTGATCTCAGGGTCAGGGATTAGTCTTTGAACCTCTTCTCTTCTCCATCAGTACTCACTCCCTTGGGGATCTCATCCACTCTCATCACCTGTCTCCCTGCGCCTTTCCCCAACAGTCTGTTTCCCGCAAGCAGCCAGGACAGGTGTGAACACCTGAGTTTGGGTCCAGTCCCTGCCTGCTCAGAGCCCTGCTGGGCTCCACCTCATCAGGGTCAGGGAAAGAGGCTCACTGTGGCCCACAAGCCCCATGTGATCAGCACTCGTCATCTCCCTGCCCTCATTTCCCCTTACTCACTCTGCCCCAGCCAAACCAGCCTCCATACCTCAGAGCCTTTGCACAGGCTGTTTTCATCACCTAGATCCAGAGTACTTCTTTGCTCACCTCCACACTTCCTTCAAACCTTGGCTCAACTTCTCCACAAAACTGTCTCTAGCCACCATATTTACAATTTCAGGGCCTCAAGACCATCACCTACTTCTTCTTCCCTTTTCCTTACTTTACTCTTTTCTAACACTCTTATCACACCACACACATAAGTATAGGTGGATTCTTTACCACCTGAGCCACCAGGGAAGCCCATATATTGATATAATTTACTTAATTAAGTCAGTCTTCCGTATTGTCTGTTCCCCTAGCCACATTGTAACAATCACTATGAGGGCAGAATTGCTGCTGATTTTGCATACTGCACACCAGTGTCCACACCAGTGTGTGACACATAGTAAGTGTTCAATAAAGAGATATTAAGTGACTGAATGAACGGACTGTCACATCAGAAACCCACTTCACAGATGAGGAAACTGAGGCATAACAAAATGAAACACCTTTATTTAAAACAAAACAAAACACCTTGACAAAAGAGCTGAGTGATGAAATGCTGATTCCTGACTCCAGCTAAGCCTCTTGGCTCAAGGGCAAATCTCTTCATCTTTTTGTGTGCCTCACTTTCTTCTTCTGAAAATGAGGGTGTTAACCATATTTCCTCCATAGGGTTGTTGTGAGAATGAAATGAATATTGGTAAAGCACTCAAGAAATAACCTCCGGTATCTCGTAAATAAAAGTGATAGTAATATATTAGACACTAAATTATATTAGTTGCTATTATTATTACATACCATAAAAAGATGACGAGCAACCATTTAGCTATGATATTTCCATCTGGTGACATTTATTGGGCCCTTCCTAAACCACTGTGCTGAGCATTTAAGCTGCATCATTGCACTGAATTCCATCATTGTGTTTTAATGACCAAAACAATTCTCGGAGGTTGCCCTGGGTTAAGAGCCTTCAAAGATCTAATGCTTGTTATATCATCTAGTGCCAGTAAGTGCTCGATTCATGTCAGCTGTTACTATTTTGAAATAAATTGATGAAGGTCTTGTTAAGAATTAAGCCTGTATCAGGCAAGCAGCCTGTGGACATTGCACAAAGCCTGACTCCGTTTTGCCCCCACAACAGAGAACTGGAGTTGTGGAGACAGGCTTTAGAGACTAGGGTGTATTTTGCCCCCAGGTGGTTATAAGTTGTATTAATAATTAGCTGCAATTTACAAGTGAGTCTACCAGCTTGCTCAGCATAGACATGAAACTCACCAGAGCCTAGTTCCCCGGGTCAGTTCTCCTTAGGAATGTGCCGATTGCTGATGAGTGGGGGATTTCTGGAACTGAGAGTGGTCACCTCACACCACAAGGGCAGCCAGACTTCACTGGGGAGCAAGGACTTTCAAGTGATGTACTGTATGAGCCCTGGGTATTCAAAATGCTTATCTGTGATGCTCTCCTGAGGACCATAAGGTGCCTTGTAGCCACCATGTCCAACCCAGCTGAATGCCAGCTACTGGCTGGGTCAGAATGGCAGGTCACTGCTTGCTGCCAGGGTGTTTGGATGTGTGTGTGTGTCTGTTTGTGTTTGGTGGGGAGGATAATCGTATTGGTTGTCACAGTGACTGGGGGATGATACTGGTATTCAGTTTCCAGGGACCTGTGACGCACAGCAGACATCTTCCCCAAAGGGCTATAACAGCATATCCAATCTGATGTGCTCTTTTCCAGGACTTGACCATTCTCCATTCACACCCATCCCTTTGACATGGGCAGGTCTTTGGGACTGCTTCACCTTTTCAGAGCATCACAGAAGTGACGCCGTTAAGGGGTTGTGGAGGTTGTGTTGTCTGGGGGTGCATACCTGGGGGGCCGTGAGTCCAGTGGTGTGCTCCTAAATGTTCAACAACAGGCTCTTGGACTTCCCTGGGGGTCCTATGGTTGAAACTTTGCCTTCCAATCAGGGTGGGCAGGTTTGATCCCTGGTTGGGGGATCCGTGAAAGACATGGTTTTCAGAGCTTCTGGATTTAGGGATTGTAGCGTTTGCTGATTTCTGTGGTGTGAATATACTGTCCATGGCTGATGGCAAGCTACCAACATGATGTCTCTGAACTTTGGAGTTGGAAAGCGCTGTCCACAATGCACTCCCAGGATCTGGTGTGAACCAGTTCCAGCACACCACCGCCTAAGTCACCATGTGAGTCTGGCTATCCTGAAGCCGTCACAGTGGAGAGACCACAGGAAGAGATATATATATGTGCTTGGGGAGCCTCAGCTGTTTGGGTCTTCCCATCCTAGATGCTAGTGGCTCAGTGGTAAAGAATCCGTCTGCCAATGCAAGAGACCCAGGTTCGATCCCTG